GACTGACTTTTCCTTTAAATATTTCCTTCTATTTGATGCAACACACGCCACTTTGGAGGTCTAAATTTCGGATACTGAGGATAAAGAAGACACGGACAAAAATAGGGACTCTGAGAATTTCGGACACAAGTTTAAAGCTTCACCGGGACATCCCATCCGCGAGCTTCACAGAGAGCGACTTGAGGAAAATAGGAGCTATTACTGACAAGGTTTGGTGACTGAGTAGAGCATACAAGTGTAGCCCACGTCGAGGTTTCAGGGGGTTTGCTTTTGTTTGTATTTGTATCTTGCTAAGCTTTTATCATTAAATTTGTACATGATCTTGTGATCACAATTCTGTGTTTTCGCCCATTCAGCAAGCACACTATATTGATGTCAGCATTAGCGAGTTTCAGAAACATGCCTTTGAAAGTTTTCAGCTCTCGTGATGTTTCTTGATATTTCTTTTACCATTTTATGGAGATGTAAGCTGAAGTCACCGCAAAATGGAAACTTAAAAAAGCGTATAATCCATTTATCTCGACAAAAACACACATGACTTATACGACCTTTATTTTCGTAAAGGTGTTTTGAATACGAACGAACACAGTCAATGTGAGGGGCAAAAACAGCATTAATATAAATGAACCATAGGGTTTTACTAATATAAGGGTCAATTATTGTGCACTGAGATGAATCGCTTGAAAAGAGAGACTTCGCTTGAAGATGTGATCAGAAGTAAACAAAGGCATAATAGTGCTCACGTTCAGTCTTTTTAATATCCAAGGAGTCACTGTGAATAGTGTCAGGGGCACCCAACGAGAATATAGTTCAAAACCACTCAACATAGCATTGTTAAACGTATTTTAGTATTTAAACGGTAGATTTAGGCATAATTTTATCCGCTAAACATTTTTTAACTGTTCGGGTTTCCTAGCTGAAAGTCTAGTGATCCGAAAATTGTAGGGATCAGAACTTACCTTTTCGAAAGTTTCAGCCAGAAAAATGGCTCCCGAAAATTCTAGGTGACCTTTTTAGGGTAAAAATCCGTAAAAATGGGCAATTATACCATTTTTTAGCTGTTCGAAAATCCTAGGAGAGGCAGGCAAGCAAGAAATTTCACGACAAATGTTCCGAAAATTCTAGATCTCAAATCGTCTTCCGAACAGATATTTCCCGAAAATTGATGTTGGGTGCCCCTGATAGTGTTTCCATATTGTTTAGCTGACACAAAAACTTCGGACGAGTTATAAAGCGGCATAGTTATCTTCCATGAAGAAAAGTTCGTCTTGGGTGAGACAAACAGAACTGGAGCGAATTTTTAACTCGCATCGGTATCAGGTAAAAAATATGTTATCGATCGTTTCATCTATTTACATTGTTTGAAGTGCGTGCTGGTGAACGCAACATGCGAGCGAGAAATCTTTAAACTTTTTTAGGTCTCAAAATGCAAAGGATTTTATTCCTTTAATTTAGAGAAAAATACCATGAGGAAAATCTAAAAACTGAATATTTTTCATCTTGTGGAAAAAATAGTGCGTTTTCTTGTAGACTGTGGACCACAAATTGGGATCGCACTTTTCACAAACATGCGAATTCTGAAGTTCAGAAGCCAACCGACGATTGCGTTTTTCGCTGCTGTCAATCATCTTAACGGACCTCTTAGGAAACAAACCTTTACTTCACGGGTTCAAAAGGTCATGGTTTGTGATTTGTGGATTTCGATCCGTTTTGTGTGTTTCTCTGTTTCAAGGTTCGTTGCTTGTGATCGTAATTATGATTGACGGCAGCGATAAACACAATTGTGAAGGTGGCTTTTGAACTTTAGAGTTCGCAAGTTTGTGAAAAGCGCAGTAAAGTCTCCGTGCAGTCAGTGAGGCCCCTGGATCAGGCGGGATCAATGGGCAGTTAACTGTCTGTTTTAGTATACTTCTGGTTTTCATACAATACAATATTTCTGTCTAGTGTAAATCAGCTCAGTCTGTCGCATTTTATGCTCGTAGAACGACAACAATTTTTGGAATTTCCAGTTACGTCAAATTAGTCGCGTTATACTGTCACACTATATTTTGGGGCACAGAGGGATTGGGGGAGGGGTACGTGGAAATAATGCAAATTGTTTCCTGCCTTGAATTAATGGCTAACTTGTTCATTTTTATTCATAATGGTGGAATTTAAAAGTTATTATACAGCCCCCACTTAAAAATGGTACTCTTTTTTTTGGTTATGAAAGTCTTTCAAAAGGGGTCAGTCTCACATGAGATTCTGTCGCATGCAATGGTTGCTGACAAGGTTTTATGGTAGCCTGAGTGTGTATAGCCGCCCCCTCCCTTCAGAAAAAATAGCCCCTTTGCAGCCCAGTTAAAAATCGCCTTTCGGCGATTCTTGTTTAATACCTATTCTAGATGGGAAAGTTCACTTGATAACAACTCATCACATGGTCCGTTCGAGAACGATTGGTTGTACAGCGCATTGTCAAAGGGGCTCATGTCACGCATCTGCTATCCTGCTTTTTGAAAGCTTAAAGGCGTGTTTGCATCTACAAAAATTTCCAGAAATAATGGTCCAGTTTTGTTATTCGAGACTATATTTGCATTGAAACTGTTCCCTGCCGTCTGTTGCTATGGATAGCAACCAGTTAAACGGGAGCGAAAGATGATAGCACTTGATCCTGTCGCAAGAAAGAAACGCAGTGGGGATTCAGTATGGTGAAGACGATTCCAAATGTACATCGGAAATCCATCTATTTCTTTCGTTGGCCTGCAATGGATTCAAGACAGCAACAACCAAGTTATTATTTATCGGCTCCACTTCTTTGTAAAGGTTGGGTGGGCGCCTAATCCCTTAAATAAGCTCTATAGTTACGGTAAACGCTCTATTAAGCCCCCGGGGGGTATTTATTTCAAACAAATTTGACGGAGGGGGGCCAACATAATTTAGTAAGGACGATGGTATCAGTTCCCCATAAAGAACTAGAACTGCAAAGTTTAAAAGCTCAAGTACAATGGTTGTAGGTCATGCAGCCGAGGATCAAAAACAAATCTGAAAGTTCAGCTGGTGAAAAAAACTATCGTGGATCAGTCCACATGAAGTGTTACAGTTGTGATTGATAAACATAGTATATCATAAATTAGTGAAGAATAATAAGGGGAGGGGGGGAAGGGGAAGAGGGGCTTAAAAAAGAAGCGGGGGCTTATTAGAGGGGGGAACTTATTTGAGAGAGGGGGGCTTAACAGACGATTTACAGTATGGATGGCCCAAGCAAAATGGATTCTTTTGACCTCAAATTGGGTATAGACTCTGGGCCCGAAATCAATTGAGCCTAAAATTTGTGCTCCCTGGAAGAAAGGCCTGGAATTGGGTATGTTTTTATTCCGATTTGACTTTTGAGAGAAGCGGTTTAAGTCTCAGAAGGAAAAAACAGTTTGCCAAATTTTCTTAGAGGAGTACCCCACAGGAGGCGGGAATTTGCCCTGTTCACAATACTCTTTCTTCCTGCAGGTGCATTAATTCGTGATACCGTGAATAATTCTTTAACTGAACATGAAAAAAAATGCTTATTCGTGGTCGAAAACAAGTGAAGACAGTAATGGTGATAGACTCTGAAAAGTTAACGGCTTAGAGATGAAATCTCTTAAGCTTGATTTACTAACTGTATTTTTTATATTTTCTTGATTCTCTTTTAATCTATGAATGAAAGACTCAGGTGTGAAAATTCAAATGAAGCTACATCTTCGTTTGCCATTTTGTTGTTTATTACATCAGTTGTACAAAGTGTTATTCTTATTCTGTTGATCTGCGGATTAAATGACTACTTTTCTGTCGTGTTGTTTGTTTCTCAATCGTACTCATTGCCGAAAGTGAAAGGCTTCCCGGTCTCCAAACAATCAGGTGCAAGAAATCTAAGAGCGCAGCCAAAGATAAAAGCCCTTTCATTTCTCCAGTCTACGAACATGTGATTATTTTTCTATCTTATCTTACGGAGAGGACCTCACCTTTCATTGACCGAAATTCAATGTCACGTCATCACCGATCAGCACGAATGGAGCCCAGTGCTTCACGGTATTGAATTTTTCCGACTCCCTCATCCATTTCATGGCCTGATGAAGGGACTTACTTGCACTTTGCCCTGCTACTAAATGTTCGTAAAAGTGTCTCATAAACGCAAGAGTGGCTTCGTCATCAATCGCCCACAGTGTGGCAATAACAGAACGCGCACCGGCCCCTAAAAAGGCACGTGCAATACCAACCACTCCTTCGACTTTGATATTTCCTCGCCCACTGTTGCAGCAGCTTAAGACAACAAGCTTGGCGCGCACTTTTGCATCCAACACATCTGCCATCGTCAAAAGAAAGTCTTTCTCTTTAGGTCTTTTGGCACTACTAGAAAAATTAGGAGACAAAATGATTTCTCCGGTTTCTGTACGACCATGAGCTGCTATGTGCACTAACGAAACTGAGTTGAGCCCGCTTAAAACCCGATCTTTTGTGGCGTTCTTTCCGGTGAGAGGCTCGATGTTTAGAATTTGCGCAATCATTTTTACCTCTTCCTCAGCACCTGGAAGCTGCGGAAACGGTTTGCAGCCTTTGATGCGTACAGTTTCCACCCACGGGTTGCCAACAAGTAGAGCCTCGGATGAACTATGGCGGTCCTCCGGACATTCTGCCAGCAGCCATAAGCTTGTCAGTGATGGAATCAATCTAATTCTACGCGTTTCATTTCAATACATGGAGTTTTGGTCCACGAGGGCAGCATAAGGAATCAAGAACGATGAAGCGTCAGGGACAATGACGAGTTCGTCACCTATCGAGTGTGAAATTGGAGCGATGAATATGTCCTATAATACTTTTAAAGCACCACCCTGGTCTTCGATCTCTCTCCTCAGCTGGGGGCGAATTTTTTTCCACAGGCTTTTGTTCACACCAATCTTTTTGTATGTTTGGTAAGTCATTGATGTCAAGTCATCACTGCTAACTTCCTGTTGCACAAAGTCACAAAGCTTTCCCCACTTTAACCGCATCTAGATATTCACTGACTGGGTATCATTCATTAGAAATAACGTGGGTGACGAAATATGGTTTGAAATGATAAGTTCCATCTGCTGTTTCGGCTGTGAACGAATCGATTTCCTGACACCATATTGCGATTCCAAGAGGTCCATAAGAGCTTCTGCTCGTCCCCTCTCAGCTGTTAAAAGCGCCTCGAGTGTCTTACGTTCAGTGCGTTGTTGTAACTGTAGTCTCACTAAACGACTAACGCAATCACGTTCATTCCGAAAGCTGATTTTCCACTCGTCGTTTCCTTCAAGAAGGACTCTCATTTCCTCTACCAGTTCAATACAGGATTTAAAACACTCCTCGGCTTTGGAGTACTCGTCAAGACACCAAAGAACTTGAGCAAGTCCATCATATCCGCGTTGTTCAACATCTTTGTTTCCAGTCTCCTTTGCTATACTTGTGGCTAGCTGATAAAATTCCATCGCTCTTTCGGAATTACCGAGACGCTTATAGACATTGCCGAGGTTTATATATGTAGGTCCTCCTCCATTCTTCATCCCAGTATCTTTTGTGATTCTTAGACTCAGCTCATAAAGCTCGATCGCTTTATTAAAATCGCCGAGAGACTGATTGACGACGCCAAGGTTGTTATATACAGCTGCTTCTTGATATTTGTTTTCAGTATCTTTTGCGATTCTTAGCGCCAGCTGATTAAACTCCATTGCTTTTTGGAAATCCCTAAGAGAATTATAGGCGCCGCCAAGGCTGTTATAAGTACTTCCTTCTCTATCTTTGTTTCCAGTATCTTTTGCGATTTTTAGAGCCAGCTGATAAAACTCGATTGCTTTTTTGAACTCACTGAGACACTGATAGGCACTGCCAAAATTGTGATATATAGTTCCTTCTTGATCTTTGTTTCCAGTATCTTTTGCGATACTTAGAGCCAGCTGATTAAACTCCATTGCTTTTTGGAAATCACTAAGACAATTATAGGCACTGCCAAGGTTGTTATATATAGTTCCTTCTTGATCTTTGTTTCCAGTATCTTTTGCGATTTTTAGAGCCAGCTGATAAAACTCGATTGCTTTTTTGAACTCACTGAGAGACTTATAGGCAGTGCCAAGGTTGTTATATATAGTTCCTTCTTGATCTTTGTTTCCAGTATCTTTTGCGATTTTTAGAGCCAGCTGATAAAACTCGATTGCTTTTTTGAACTCACTGAGAGACTCATAGGCACTGCCAAGGTTGTTATATATAGTTCCTTCTTGATCTTTGTTTCCAGTATCTTTTGCGATTTTTAGAGCCAGCTGATAAAACTCGATTGCTTTTTTGAACTCACTGAGAGACTCATAGGCACTGCCAAGGTTGTTATATATAGTTCCTTCTCCATCTTTGTTTCCAGTATCTTTTTGCGATTTTTAGAGCCAGCTGATAAAACTCGATTGCTTTTTTTTGAACTCACTGAGAGACTAGTGATAGGCACCGCCAAGGTTGTTATATATAGTTCCTTCTCCATCTTTGTTTCCAGTATCTTTTGCGATTTTTAGAGCCAGCTGATAAAACTCGATTGCTTTTTTTGAACTCACTGAGAGACTTATAGGCACTGCCAAGGTTGTTATATATAGTTCCTTCTTGATCTTTGTTTCCTGAGTATCTTTTGCGATTTTATATATAGCTGATAAAACTCGATTTTTTTTAGAGCCAACTCACTTTTTGAACTCACTGAGACTTATAGGCACTGCCAAGGTTGTTATATATAGTTCCTTCTTGATCTTTGTTTCCAGTATCTTTTGCGATTTTTAGAGCCAGCTGATAAAAACCAGCTGATAAAACTCGATTGCTTTTTTGAAATCACTGAGAGACTGATAGGCACTGCCAAGGTTGTTATATATAGTTCCTTCTTGATCTTTGTTTCCAGTATCTTTTGCGATTTTTAGAGCCAGCTGATAAAACTCGATTGCTTTTTTGAACTCACTGAGAGACTGATAGGCACTGCCAAGGTTGTTATATGTAGTTCCTTCTCCATCTTTGTTTCCAGTATCTTTTGCGATTTTTAGAGCCAGCTGATAAAACTCGACTGCTTTTTTGAACTCACTGAGAGACTTATAGGCAAGGCCAAGGTTGTTATATATAGTTCCTTCTTCATCTTTGTTTCCAGTATCTTTTGCGATTTTTAGAGCCAGCTGATAAAACTCGATTGCTTTTTTGAACTCACTGAGAGACTGATAGGCACTGCCAAGGTTGTTATATATAGTTCCTTCTTGATCTTTGTTTCCAGTATCTTTTGCGATTTTTAGAGCCAGCTGATAAAACTCGATTGCTTTTTTGAACTCACTGAGAGACTGATAGGCACTGCCAAGGTTGTTATATATAGTTCCTTCTTGATCTTTGTTTCCAGTATCTTTTGCGATTTTTAGAGCCAGCTGATAAAACTCGATTGCTTTTGAACTCACTGAGAGACTTATAAACTCGCCAAGGTTTTTTATATAGTTCCTTCTTGATCTTTGTTTCCAGTATCTTTTGCGATTTTTAGAGCCAGCTGATAAAACTCAATTTTTTGTTTCACTGAGAGACTTTTGCGATTTTTAGAGCCAGCCAAGATTGTTAAACCTTCTTGATCTTTGTTTCCATATCTTTTGCGATTTTTGATAAAACTCATTGCTTTTTGAACTCACTGAGACTTATAGGAAAGGCCAAGGTTGTTATATATAGTTCCTTCTTGATCTTTGTTTCCAGTATCTTTTGCGATTTTTAGAGCCAGCTGATAAAACTCGATTGCTTTTTTGAACTCACTGAGAGACTGATAGGCACTGCCAAGGTTGTTATATCTAGTTCCTTCTTGATCTTTGTTTCCAGTATCTTTTGCGATTTTTAGAGCCAGCTGATAGAACTCGATTGCTTTTTTGAAATCACTCAGATGGTGATAGGCGAGGCCAAGGTTGCCAAGGCTAACTCTTTCTGCGTTTTTATTCCTGATCTCTCTGGCTTCATTCAAAGTCATCTCGAAGTAATCCCGGGCTATTTGAAAATCACCGCGTTTAAAGGCTTTTTCTCCAAGGTAATTACTGTACAACCAATTTGTTATGGAAGTTTGTTCGGGTGTTCCATGTTTGCCTTTACTTCCTGGGCATGCCTAGAAAAAAATGTAAAACAAACCCTCTTTTGAAGCAAGTTATGGTATAGAAGATGTTTTTAATGTAAAGTTATACCCTTTGTGAGGAAGAAAATAGCCCGCAAGATTTTTTGTGGCAATCAACTCTCCCCTTGCGGATACCTCGATATTTCGGACGACCCCTGCTAACACAGCCAAATCCCCAGCAATACAAACTCCCGCTATTACTCGCTTGAGCCAGATTGTGGCTTTGAAATAAATTAGCTCATAATATAGCTCGGACAGCAAGTTTCTAGAGTATATATACTCAAGTATAGAAGTATTACCAATGAACTTTATTTCTTAAGCGGATAAATCTACAAGAGCTGATATTTGACCAATCCGCCTTGACTTTGGCGGCTCACGAAGTAAGCCAAAAGTCCATTTATTTTCGCGGCTTTAAAATTTATCGTACAGAGAATCAAAGGGCGTTTTACATTCAGCCAAAACTTTCGAAAATTTGGAAACAGCGGCAAATGGTATAGAGATTTTCCGGAAAAGTTTCTGGAAATACCGGAAGCTGTTGAATCAGTCCGAAATGGGAACCATTCAACCAAAAATTCTACCTGGAAATCCTGGGAGCAAAAATGAATGGAAAGAAATCTTCCGTTAAAAATTTTTCGAAAATTTGGGTATACCTCGCGAGGTTGTCCCTCTTTTTTGGAAGTTTTGAAAAATACTGTACCATTTGCTACTGGAAGTTGCCTAAAATTCAAAGTGGACGTTTTGTTTGAATGGAAAGCGCCCAAAGTTTCTTTAAGGAATTATTTTCCGGACACTGTGTTTTTTTTCTAGTGGTTATGAACTAATATTTATTTTAATTTGGCAATTCTGTAAAATAGACATTAACTTCAATCAATATCTCAAACCCTTGAAATCTCATATGTGACTTTTTCAAGCTCCATCATCGGTTGAATCTGAATTAGTTCGATACAAGAAAGACGAACCAACCATTCGGCACTGTAAATTAAATTAACCTCCGCCAAAAAGGAACAAATGGTGGTGTTCGGCTATTAAATCTCTTCTATTAGAATCAACCGTGTAATATCAGTAATATCAAAGGTCACTTCGACCGCTTAATCAAAACAATTTAAAATGCTATTTAATAAAAATAAAACAAAATACCTCGTTTTCCACGGCTCTTCTACTCGTCGCTTTTTTCCTTAGTTCAAGCAACGTGGTGTTTTCTTCGTCGATCTTCCAAATTGTTAAGGTGTAAATAGTAATTTCGAAATTAAGTTGAAGTAAAGTATACTTGCCATAGGTTGAATATAACTATAAGAGCGTTACCCCTTATGAGCAGCCTAAAGTTAAAAACAAAAAAAATACGGTCAAGCCTGCATATAGCAGCCCTGTATATAGCGGTCACCCAGTATACTACGGCTACTGGACAACTCTCCGAATATATTGCCATATATGTTCTGTAAGTTGATCTGTTTAAAACGGTCTCCTCTCTATAACGGATGCGGTCACCCTTTAGACTCCCAAAATGCACAATTCGATTATATTTTTTACCTGTTTATAACGGTCCACAAATTGGATTACGATCAAATAAAGGATAAAATTCAAGATGTGTGCTCCAAAGTAGACGGAAAAATGAATGCTAGCAAAATCGTCGAATCAGTTAACCTTTTCATGGCAATCGAATGGGGGACCTACAAGCGTTGAACGAACTCAACATCCAGTTGAATTTAAAGGAAACCTATATATATATATATAGCGGTCACCCATTTCTCAAGGCTGACAGTTATATATAGGTTTGGCTGTACGCAGCATTTTCCCTGCAACATGGTTATAAAGAGGGATAATCCTCTCTTGTTAATATTGAAACGCTAACAAGACTAATATTGTTGACACTGTTATTGCTACACAAACTTTTTAAAAACTAACTTTTATTAGAAATTCCACTTTTTCTGTGCTTTTGTGGTCGCTTTTGAACAAACAAAGAAATAGAGAAAAATATCGCGTACTGTTTTGTAATTCGTACTGAAGAAGTTTAGATAACTAAGCACCGCCCTCAAATAAGCACTGAACCGTTAGTCAAGAAAAATGGTAGACAAATCGTAACGGAAGTGTATACAACAAGTTGCGAAAATAAACCATTTTTCAGCAATGGAAGAATGTAAAGAGTAAAAGGATACTGCTAATCCTTGATCACACCAAGTGATCACCAGCTCAAACAGTTTTAACTTCTCAAACGCTTTCGCCCCTAAAATCGTAAAAATAAAGCATGTTGAAAACATTTTTTATGTCTTGCTCCCTTCCTACCTGCCATTTCTCAAAATTTCTCATTTGTCGGAGTTCTTATAGTGTATTAGTATCTTTGTATGTCTGTCGCAGTGTGATTAACCAGAAGCATATAATCCTTCAGGATAAGTTTTCTATAGCGATAAGGATAGACTCAGTTTTCCGCAACTTTCGCGTTTTAAGCTGTCATTTTGCTACTTTTATCATTTTCATGTACAACAACACCCAATTTCCGGACAATTTCAAACAATAAGCCACTCTAAAATTAGGCTTAAATGGGTACATTCGTGGTACAGTTACACTGAAGCATCCATGATAGTTCATGCACGTCATACGTGCCTATGTTCAAGAGAATGAAGAACTATGTCGCAAGTAGCCTACGAATAACCGTAATTGCCATTTTTGTACTATAAAAAAGAGCCCGTGAGCAAACAAACATTTGATGATGACTTTGTTACACCCTGGACTCCAAATCTAAAGTTTAATTTCTTCCATATTATTTAAACGTTTGAACTTTGTAGCCGTTTGAACTTTTGGTGTTTTTCACAAGAGAATGAATGCTTGCCAACATTACTAGTATAATTATGATCCATTCTGTTTCTTAGATACTAAATAGTTAAAAAAAATTCTTCTAAAATTACCTGCTATTATTGGTTTGATTGCCAATGGTCGAATGTCCCTGGCGTTTTGTCCATCTACCAGGGAGTAAATGTAGTTTCCTATGAATGTTAAAAATGCAAACAAACAAAAATTACTCACAGCAAACGCAGCAAAGCAAACTCAAAGCAAATAAGATCAGTGAAATCTGGAAACCCCTGACGGACCATTCCAAAGCAAGTCATGTGATCACACTGGCAAACATTCAACATCAGTGGTTAACCAATCAGAAAATAAGCAATATTTCTTTATTTTCAAAATACAAGTAGCCTTACCTAAACGAAGGTTTGCATAAGCTCTGTTGCTGTACAGTTTCGCCTTTAGGTCTTCGTCCTTGCAGTTTACTTTAATTCCCTCAGTATAAAAGTAAACGGCGTTGCTGTAATCTTCCTGTAAGTACGCTTCATTGCCTTCGGTTTTGTACACCTCAGCTATTGCTAAAAATGAAGCAGGTTGAAATGTCATTAAACCTCATGGTGTATAGCCCCTCCCCTCCCCTCCCCTGCATTGTTCCCAGTCGCTCGCGATCACTTTTCGGGGGATATTTGAGTTAATTGTTAAGGAAAGGGGGCGAAAGTTGTGATGGGAAGGGGAGAAAAAATGAAGCTTTCTCTCTTATTCCTTCCCATCACTCCCCGCCTGCGCTCTCCACGCTGGTCTCCAGCTTTCGCAGTTCTCACTTGTTCCATACTCACCTCTAAGCCTTGGGAAACCCTGTAACAGACCCCCTTCCCTCAAACAAAGAAGGCTGGGGGGGGGTAGGTGGTCTGCAACAGGCGGGATGCGGCATTTAGAAGATCTTTGGAAGTGATATTCGGGACGAGGGATAAAAACAGGACCAGGAAGCGAGAACTCAAAGGACGAGCGGGGGTGGAGCTTTGGGAGGCGATTATTTGAAATTTTTCCTTTATAGGAGGCGATTAAAACAATAAACTGATCCTTTCGGTGGGAAAAGTGATAGAAAAAATAAATAAAGAAAACAGAAATAAAATGGTGAATTATAATTGTGAAAACAAAAGATAAGAGTACAATACGGGAAAACCGTGTGCAACTTTTTTTGTGTTAATTTCCGTCTTCGTCTCTTTGCTAGAGATTACTAAACAACATATATGAGAGAGATCATTTCTTCCCGGTTTGGCAAATGGTGTCACTTGTTAATTCATAAATGGCGTTGACCATGACATTGGTCACAGATTTGTGATATAGTGGCAAATTTGGTCGTTCAGTTCCTCACTTTCTGAAGTTAAAAATGCTAAAAAGCTGGAAATGCATTAAATTTGTAGCTCCAGAGAACACTACTAAGGCGTTATGCAGTACCTGTTCATCCTTCGGTTAACGGGAAAATAGTACTTGTACTTGCCGAGAGCTAATGCACCACTGTATATAACGGTGAATCCACAAGATAAAGTAATTAGTCGTCAACCACAAATTTTAGAAAAAGCCTTATCTAGATAAAAGGATAAAACCACCTTCAGTTAAGACAACGTTAAACGACTTTGACTTTTTAACCACTTCCGTATGTTGAATGTTATCAAATGACGGTTTTTTTTTCCTTTTCTGTATCTTTTATTTCATTCCTCATTATTTTGCTAAGTTAAAGTCCTGTTGGTGATACACTATTAACAGTTGTAAGAATCTTTACCTTTTAGTGTGTCATCATCAAAGTTCAGCTGTTGTCCGGTACCAAGTGATGTAACATCACTCTCCCATGCTGCGCCGTTTCCACTCTGTGCCATAATGGTTTGATCTGGAAAAATCAGTAAAAAGCTTTAAATTAATATTATTATATAAACTGCAGTGTTTTACAAGGATTTCTACCACCGAGAAATGTGGTATCTGAACACACGTAAAAATACGATATTTTTAAATGTGAAATTATTGATATTTGATAGTTTGAGAACATTTTAACCATTTATCTTGTCTATTATATTTTGAACAAGATACCGGACATTTTAATATTTGTATTTATTTTTTACTGTACTTTGTAGAGCTCCGAGTTTACACTGGAGTATTTTAAACAATGAATTACATTTGTCGGGTTCTCGACTATATGGCATGGTTTTGGTTTATGGAATGGCTGATTCTTGTTTATATAATAAACAGAATAATACATGGACGCTTGGAGATATGGAATTTATCTTCTCGTATCTCACATTCGATATCTCACTCGTTCGATATCGATGTGAACACTCGAAGATAAATTCCATATCTCCGCGCGACCATGTATTATTCTTTATTTAACTTCACTTGTATAAGCACTGTTACCAAAAGAACCATCCATTTTGCCACAAGTGCTAAACTCACATTAAAACTTTTTTTGACGGACGAAATCATCAAAATTCTGTGGCAGGCACTCATGAAATGTGCGGTGAAGTAATTTTCAAACAACAGGACAGTACACGTAAGCTGATTCAGTTTTCCATTGCGCTTTTAATCAAGACATGTTAGTAACTGCTTTCCAGAATTCAGTAGCCCAGTCGCTCAGGCTACCCTAGTAACCAATTATTGTGAACTCACGTTTCGACAATCTCGGTGGCTGATTCCGTCAGTTTCAGATTCAGAGCGACGTTTTTTTCAGTTTTTTTTTTGCTACGTAGTCAATCGACTTAGTAGCACCAGGGAGTTAGGGCCTGCTTACATGGAGTGGGGGACCCCGATCTAGTGGGGTTGGTTTCTTTTGTTTTCACGCTCTGGGGGACACAAAACAAAGGAAACCTACCCCACTAGACCGGGTTCCCCCTCTCCATGTAAACAAGGTCTCACAGTGCAACTTCAGTAACATGTGAAAAAACCATATTTGAAAACAGAATCAGGTGTCAATTGCAGCAAATTGTGCTATCATTAGAATGACCCTTATAAACATATTGTTTCTTTTTGGTGCAAGTGAAACTCGGTAAAGTTCACTTTTAGCCTTATAGAACTTAATGGGATAATCGTCATAATTTGCAACATCTTTTGTTATTGGTAATACTTTGTTGATAAAAATTCGTGATAAAAACATTGTTAATTATATAAATTCGGTTTGCTACTTAAAGATGTTTGGCTGCTACGACCACTTCAACAACAACACTTTTTTTACTTTCAAAACTACAAAAACTTAAGATTGGATTAACACTAAAATAACCTTTTCAAATAATAATAATCATCACAATCATCATCAACATCATCATAATCATAATATTAATAATAATAAATGGTACTATGTGAGGGTGCTGTGCTTGCACCATAGGATTTCGGCAGCCATTAATATAAATGCAGCCTTTCTAAATGTTTCAGTTGATGGGTTCAACGAGGGCCTTCAGCCACATAACAAAGTACCATGGGAATATTGTTTGGCACTAAAGAGAAAACCTTTCAACTACAACAACTGGGCACGATATCACACTATCGAAGGCGGTCTTATAGTAGAAGTATGTGCATGCTAAAAAAATTAAAATTGAAGCGGCTAGGGGTATGCCCAATTCCGTAACACAGCGAAGAAAAATCGACAAATTCGACAACTTAAACCATGTTAAAAATCGCCGAGCCAATAACAGAAAAATTCTACATGTTTAGAAGTACCACAATATCGAATTCGAGACCACAATTACAGAAGTACCGCATGAAAATTTGCCAAACACCACGATGCCAAAAAATTTCTCATTGTTAGGTGCTAAAAATGTCAGACACTACCATACTCTCCCCTCCCCGAGGCAAACATTGATTCCAAATACCCCATTGTGGGTAAGAGTATCCAGAGGCAGCGAAAATACCCAAAGGGGATGGTCACGCTTCAAATTAACTGACCAGTTGCAGTTGATTGCAGGCCCTTTCACCAGGGTTGAGGGTGCTTCGTTTTCCAGTTGAGTGTATTTCGGTTTCCAAAAAATAGAAAATACTTGGTTCTTTCTCCATTCGTGGTTGTTTCCCTTTTACTTGTAGGTCTCTCCGATTCAGCTTTGATTTCGACAATCTGTTTTACAGTTATGAAGTACGTCATAAGCATAACTTTCGATAAAGAAACTTGGGGTGGAACGAAACCCCAGTGGAGGTACTGCCGATTTCAAGTGACGGCGATGATCGAAGGATTTGTTGGGTTTGAAATTTTCGATTCCGGAATTCTTTTGGGGTAGGAAAATTTGACAGGTATTTTCTTAGTTGGCTTGACTTAAACTAAAGAACTTTGTCGGTGTATAGTTCTGTATAGGATTTTTGGGGGTTAATTTTTGGTCCAGGGAATTTTGGGTTTTTGATTTTTGCATTCATTTGGTCATCCACGTCTGTTAAAATTCGTAATAACCCTTGGGAACGAAACTTGCTATGGTATAAAAAATAAAATGGCGAGTTATAATTGTGAGTACAAAAGATAAGAGTATAATACGGACTATCGTGTGCAACTTTTTTGTGTGTTCATCCGGGAGTCCGTCTTCTTCTCTTTGCTACAGATTAAAACGAAAAATACCACGGGGATAATTATTCCCCGGTTAGGCAAATGGTGTCACTTGTTAACTCACAAATGGCGTTGATCATGACTATGGCTACAATCTCGCTCTGTTTTGAGTTCTTTCGGTGTCGTGTTGATGTCTTGCAGAGTTAATTTTCACGTAGTACGGTCAGCATTGCAGTATTCTGCTTGCAGAATTTAATATGTCTACTTTTCACTTTTCATTTTTGCTGATCAGGTCGTTATGGATCCTACGTTCTCCGGCATATTCGTTTGCGGTCCTTTGCAGTCCTTTAAGGTTAATGTTTGTACTAGATCATGACATTGCTCACAGACTTGTGAAATAGGTGCAAATTTGGTCGTTCCGTTCCTCACTTTCTGATGTTAAAAATGCTAAAAATGTATTAAATTTGTAGCTCACACTAATAAACCATTATGAGGTGCGTGTGCATCTTTCGGGTTGGCGGGAAAATAGGAATCATACTTGGCGGGAGCTAAAGCAGGGCTATATGTAACGGTGAATCCACAAGATAAAGGAATTCGTCCACCACAAATTTTAGAAAAAGTTTAATCTAGACAAAAAGTAAAAAACACCTTCAGTGGAGATAATGTTTAACGACTTCCAGTCTTTATGTGTGTTGAATGTTATCAAATGACGGTTTTTTCCTTTCTATATCTTTTATTTCATTTCTCCTTAAATTTCTATGTTAAAGGCTGATTGGTGATACACTATTAACAGTTGTAAGAATCTTTACCTTTCAGTGTGTCATCATCAAAGTTCAGCTCTTGTCCGGTACCATGTGATGTAACATCACTCTCACTTGCTGCTCCGTTTCCACTCTGTGCCATAATGGTTTGATCTGGAAAAATCGGTATAAAGCTGTAAACTGACATTATCTTTACTTGTATATAAAGCACTAGTACCAAAACATCCATTTATTTTGTCACAAGTGGTAAACTCCACCACAAATTCTAGGAAAAGCCTAATCCAGATGAAAGGTTAAAAAACCACCTTCAGTAGAGATTATGTTTAACGACTTTGACTCTTTAACCACTTCCGTATGTTGAATGTTTTCAAATGACGGTTTTTTGTCTTTTCTGTATATTTTATTTTACTTGTGCTTAGTTTAGTATGTTAAAGGCCTTTTAGTGATACACTATCAACAGTTGTAAGAATCTTTACCTTTCAGTGTGTCATCATCAAAGTTCAGCTCTTGTCCGGTACCAAGTGATGTAACATCACTCTCACATGCTGCTCCGTTTCCACTCTGTGCCATAATGGTTTGATCTGGAAAAATCGGTAAAAAGCTTTAAATTAATATTAACTTCACTTGTATAAGCACTGTTACCAAAACAACCATTCATTTTGCGACAAGTGGTAAACTCACATTAGTATAAAACTTTTGTTGACTGAACAAATCAATCAAAATTCTGTGGCAGGCTGTCATGAAATGAGCGGTGAAGTAATTTTCAAACAACAGGACAGTAACGTAATCTGATTCAGTTTTCCGTTATGCTTTCAGTCAAGACATGAAACTGCTTTCCAGAATTCAGTAGCTAAACACCCTAGTAACCAACCATTGCCAACTCACTTTCCGACAATCTCGGTGGCTGATTCAGTTTCAGATTTAGAGAGACGTTTTTTGTAGTTCTTTTTTGTTACCCTAGTCAATCGACTTAGTAGCAGCAGGGAGTTACAGTACCACTTCAGTAAGACGTGACAGAACCATATTTGGAAACAGAATCAGGAGTTAATTGCAGCAATAATCCTTATAAACATATATTTTTTTTTGGTGCTAGTGAAATTCGGTAAAGTTTACTTTTAGTTTTATAGAACGTAACGGGATAATCTTCATAATTTGCAACGGCTTTCGTCATTGGTAATACTTTGTTGATAAAAACTCGTGATAAAAACACTGTTAAGTATATAAATTCGGTTTGCTACTTAAAGATGTTTGGCTGCTATGACCACATCAACAACAACACTTTTTTTACTTTCAAAACTACAAAAACTTGAGATTGGATTAACACTAAAATAACCTTTTCAAATAGTAATAATAATAATAATATAATAGTTATAATAATTATAATAATAAATGGTAAAATGTGAAGGTGCTGTGGTTGCACCATAGGATTTCAGCATCCGTTATTATAAATGCCTTGCTAATTATTTCTGTTGATGGGTCCAAACGCATAACAAATTATCATGGGAATATTGTTTGGTAAACCTTTCTAAAACCGCAACTGGTCACATCACACTATCAAAGCTGGTCTTTTGGCAGAAGTATACGCATGCGCAAAAAAAAAAAAAAAAAAAACATTGAAGAGCGGCCAGGGGTATACGGAACACCGTAACACTGCAAAGAGAAATCGAGAAATTCGACACAACAATACTAAAAATCCCCGAGCCAATCACAAAAACTTCGGCATGTTTAGAAATACCACAATATCAGAATTCAAGGCCACAATTACATAAGTACCGCATGAAAATTTGCCAAACACCACAATACCGCAAACTTTCTCAATGTAAGGCGCTAAAAATGTATACCTCTACTATACTCTCCCCTCCCCGAGCCAAAACATTTGATTCCAAATACCCAACAATGGGTAAGAGTACGTCGAGGCAACGCAAATACCCAAAGGGGATGGTCACGCTTCAAATTAACTGACCCATTTTAGTTGATTGCAGGCCCTTTCATCGGCGTTGAGGGTTCTTCGTTTTCGAGTTGAGTGTATTTCGGTTTCCAAAAAATACAGGGTACTTGTTTGTTTTTTCCATTCGTGGTTCTTTCCTTTTTACTTGTAGGTCTCTCCGATTCAGCTTCGACAATCTGTTTTGCGGTTATGAAGTACGCCATAAGCAAACTTTTGATTAAGAAATTTGGGGTGGAACGAAACTCCAGTTGAGGTAGTCCAGATTTCAAGTGACGGCGATTGTAGAAGGATTTTTTGGGCTTAAAATGTTCAATTTTGGGATTCTTTTGGGGTAGGAAAAATGTGGCAAGTATTTTCCTAGTTGGCTTGATTTTAACTGAATAATTTTGTCGGTGTGTAGTTCTGTAAAGGATTTTTTGGGGGTTAATTTTTGGTTCAGGGAACTTTTGTGGGTTTTGATTTTTGCTCCAATTAGTTCATCCACGTCTCTTAAAATCCGGAATACTCCTTTGGGAACGAAACTTGCCATGGTGTAAAAAAAATAAAATAGTGAATTATAATTGTGAGTACAAAAGATAAGAGTACAATACGGACTATCGTGTGCAACTTTTTAATATGTTAATTTCCGTCTTCGTCTGTTTGCTGCATATTAAAACAAAAAAAGTGATCATGACAGGGGTCATTTACTCCCAGTTTAGGCAAATGGTGTCACTTGTTCACTAATAAATGGCGTTGACCATGACAATGGTCACAGAATAGTGGCAAATTTGGTCGTCAGTTATGCTCATTTTCTAAAGTTAAAAGCGCCAAAAAAGCTAGAAAAGCATTAAATTTGTAGCGCTAGACGGAACTTACACTATTATTAAAGGCGTTATGCGGTAGTGTGCATCTTTCGGGTTGGCAAGAAAATAGAAATCATACCTGCTGGGAGAAAATTCAGCATTCGTCGGCCACAAATTCTACAAAAAGCCTAATATAGATAAAAAGTTGAAAAGCCACCTTCGACTTTGACTCTCTAACCACTTTGATATGTTGAGTGTTTTTAAATGACGGATTTTTTTTTCTTTTATTTCATCCCTCCTTATTTTGCTATGTTAAAGTCTTGTTGGGGATACAGTATTAACAGTTGTAAGAATCTTTACCTTTCAGTGTGTCATCATCAAAGTTCAGCTCTTGTCCGGTACCAAGTGATGTAACATCACTCTCACATGCTGCTCCGTCTCCACTCTGTGCCATAATGGTTTGATCTGGAAAAATGGGAAAAAGCTTTAAATTAATATTATCTTCACTTGTATAAGCACTGTTACCAAAACAACCATTCATTTTGCCACAAGTGGTAAACTCTCATTAGTATAAAACTTTTATTGACTAAACAAATCAATCGAAATTATGTAGCAGGCAGTCATGAAATGCGTGGTGAAGTAATTTTCAAACAACAGGACAGTACACGTTTTCTGATTCAGTTTTCCATTGTGCTTTCAATCAAGAAATGAAACTGCTTTCAACAATTCACTAGCCCAGTCGCTCAGGCGACCCTATTAACCAACCACGGCCAACTCACTTTTCGACAATCTCGGTGGCTGATTCAGTTTCAGATTCACAGCAACGGTTTTTTGCAGTTTTTTTGTTACCCTGGTCAATCGACTTAGTAGCAGCAGGGAGTTACAGTGCCACTTCACTAACAGCTGACAGAATCATATTTGAAAACAGAATCAGGAGTCAATTGCAGCAGTAATCCTTATAAACATATTGTTGCTCTTTGGTCCAAGTGAAAGTCGGTAAAGTTTACTTTTAGCTTTACAGAACATAACGAGATAATCGTCATAATTTGCAACAGCTTTCGTTATTGGTAATACTTTGTTGATAAAAATTCGTGATAAAAACACTGTTAAGTATATAAATTCGGTTTGCTACTTAAAGATGTTTGGCTGCTATGACTACATCAACAACAACACTTTTTTACTTTCAAAACTACAAACACTTAAGATTGGATTAAGACTAAAATAACCTTTTCAAATAGTAATAATAATAATAATAATATAATAGTTACAATAATTAAAATAATAAATGGTACAATGTGAAGGTGCTGTGGCTGCACCATAGGATTGCAGCATCCGTTAATATAAATGCCTTTAGTTAATAATTGTTTCTGTTGATGGGTTCAAGTGCATAACAAATTATCATGGAAATATTGTTTGGTAAACCTTTCTAAAACCGCAACTGGGCACAATATCACGCTGTTAAAGCCGGTCTTGCAGAAGTATACGCATGCGCAGAAAAAAAAAGATTGAAGAGCGGCTTGGGGTATACGGAACACCGTAAGAGAGCAAAGAAAAATCGAGAAATTCGATACAAGCATGCTAAAAATCGGCTGCCAATCACAAAAAAATTCCGTATGTTTAGAAATACCACAATATCAGAATTCAAGACCACAAGTACATAATTAAAATACCATATGAAAATTTGCCAAACACAATAATTCCGCAAACTTTCTCAATGTAAGGCGCTAAAAATGTAAACCTCTACTGTACTCTCCCCTCCCCGAGACAGACGTTTGATTTCAAATGCCCCAAAGTGCAGTGGGCAAAAGAGCCCAGAGGCAACGCAAATGCTTAAAGGGGATAGTCACACTTCAAATTAACTGACCCATTTTAGTTGACTGAGGCCCTTTCACCGGAGGTGAGAGTTCTTCGTTTTCGGGTTGAGTGTATTTCGGTTCCCAAAAAATAGAAGATACTTGGTTCTTTTCCCATTCGTGGTTGTTTCCTTTTTACTTGTAGATCTCTTCTACTCAGCTTCGTATTTGACAATCTGTTTTGCGGTTATGAAGTACGTCATAAGCAAAACTTTCGATTAAGAAATTTGGGGTGGAAGGAAACTCCAGTGGAGGTTCTCCGGATTTCAAGTGACGGCGATGATCGAAGGATTTTTTGGGTCTAAAATTTTAAATTCCGGGATTCTTTTGGGGTAGGAAAAATTTGCCAAGTATTTTCTTAGTTGGCTTAATTTTAACTGAATAATCTTGGTGGTGCGTAGTTCTGTACAGGATTTTTATCGGAGTTAATTTTTTGTCAAAGGAATTTTTGGGGTTTTGTTTTTTGCCCCCATTCGGTCATCCACGTCTCTTGAAATCCGGAATACCCCTTTAGAAAGAAACTTGCTATGGTATAAAAAAAAATAAATTGTTGAATTATAATTGTAGGTACAAGAGATAAGAGTACAATGCGGACTATGGTGTGCAACGTTTTAGCATGTTCATTTCCGTCTTCGTCTCGTTACACACCTTCAGCGGAGATAATGTTTAAAGATAAAGATAAAGATAAGAACTTTATTTTAGTACGATAAAAAGATCAGCATTGCTGGTGGGGTCGTGCATACTAACAATTACAAAAAAAATAAGAAGTACGATTAAAAACTAAAAACTGTTAAAAATGTTTGAAATAGGTCGTGAAAATGTACAATTAAAAATTAAAACTGTTAAAAGTATTCGTAACCGATATCTCTATTTTTGGTAGTAGCTAAGATTGGTTCGAAATGCATTTTATCGGTATCAAATTTTACGAGACAGCGTTTAAATTCTTTCAAGGTTTTGGCCCCTGTTTCCTTGTTCGTTAAAGTGTTCCATGCGATTGCTCCTCTAAAGCGTATGGAGTTCCTGATAAAATTTGTTTCTGGTCTTGGAAGAATGATGTTCTCATTTCTTCTGCAGCCTGAATTCCTCTGTAAAAACAAATTTTTAAATTCCGTGACGGTGTAACCTTTTAAACATTTGAAGACAAACTCCGTTAGTCGCAGTTTGTACATTGTTTCCAAACTATCCCATCCAGTTCGCATTAAGACATCTTCAGCGCTTGTGTCCCATGGCAGCCCATTTACAATCCGTCCAGCCCTTGCATGGAGTTTCTCCAAGTTTTTAGGTGTGTCTTGTTGCACGATCCCCACACTGTCAGACCGTATGTAACTGATGGCAGTATCACTTTTGTGTAGAAATCTTCTAATTGCTTCTGAGGGAGGAATCGCATGCGTCGGAGTAGACTTAACTTGGATGCGAAGGACTTCGCTACATTTGCAGCATGATCTGACCACGACAACTTGTTATCAACTTGTACTCCGAGGAGTCTTTCTGAGGTTGTCCACTTTATGATGTTGTTGCCAAGGCGCAGAGCTTGGATAGGGCCAGTAAATGTTGATTTGCGCTGCATGATCATTGCTTTGCATTTCTCTGGGTGTGGTACCATCGAATTTCTGTCGCACCATTCCTGGAGTTCAGCTAGAACATTGTTTAATGAGTTTGTTAGCAAATCCATCGTTTCTGCAATACAGTATATTGTTGTGTCGTCTGCATACAGGTAAGTTTCCGCAGAGCGTAGTGATTTTGGGAGGTCGTTTGTGAAGAGGGAGAATAACGTGGGTCCGAGGACCGACCCTTGAGGCACTCCGTGAGCTATAATGTGTGTATCGGAGTCGGATCCGTTGATTCTGACGAATTGTCTTCGTTCTGTAAGGTAGTTCTTTAACCACAGCCAGACATCTCCTCTGATTCCAAGGTCGTTCAGCTTTTGTAGCAATATATTGTGCGACACTGTGTCGAAAGCTTTGGTGAAATCCACAAACAGTATTCCCACAAAAAGCTTTCTTTCTACTGCTTCTCTCCACTTCTCAGTTAGGTGTATTAATAACTGTTCTGTTGACTTTCCCTTTCTATAAGCCCATTGTCTGTTATCGAGTAAATTTTGCGTAACCACGTGATCAGTGATATTACTTGCGATGCAGGATTCCATTAATTTACTTGGTATACTGAGCATAGACAGTGGTCTGTAACATGTTCTGTCTTCCTCTCGTCCTTTTTTGAACGCTGCACTGACTCTAGCTATTTTCCACTGGTCTGGTGGCTTGCAGGCTTCAACACTCTGTTTAAACACGCTCGTGAGAGATGGGGCAATAGCCATACCTGCATACTTTAAAAGACGCGCAGATACGCCATCTGGCCCCGTGGCTTTCTTCACTTTTAACTTACAGATCTTTTCCTCGATTTCCTTCTGACTGATCGTGATGCTGGTCATAATCGGCATGTCCACATTCTCACGGCTATGGGCGTGTAATGGCTGAATTTCATCGGCGGGGCCAATCAATTTTTCAGCAATTGTGCAGAAATAATCGTTCAACATGGTTGCCTTTTCAGTGTCATCTGTTGTAAGGGTTCCATCGTCCTTCTTTAATTGGTGGGCTTGTCTGTTTACTTTTGTTGTTCCTGATGTCTTTTTCAGTAGTTTCCAGTAAGCAGCAGCGGATTTTACTTCATCGAATAGATTGGAGTAATAATCGGCTTTTGCTTTTTTCGTCATTGTTGAGACTTTATTTCTAAGTCTTTTATAGTCATCCCATAGCAGTGGATCATTTGATTGACGCGCCGTTTTCAGAGTCTCATATCTTTGATTCATGGTTATTCTAACTTCCTTTGTTATCCAAGGCAGGCTGTTACTGCGTACTTTAATTTGTTTAAGTGGCGCGTGTTCGTTGCACAATTCTATGAAGAGCAGGTTCCATGCGTAATAAACATCAGTCGGATCATCAAAAACTTCGCATACTTGAAAAGGCACACGGGCAATGTCACTTTGAAAGTTCCTCTCGTTGAATTTGTTGAAGTTCCTGATGGTAATTATTTTAGGCTGGTCTCTCGGGATACTGGCTGATAAGGTTGCATAAATCATGTCGTGATCTGAGATACCCAGGGGACATGTGCCCTTTTGTTTGACCAGATCTTTTCTGTTCGTGACAATGAGGTCAATCAACGTTTTAGAATGGTTAGTAATTCTTGTTGGTCCTTTTACCACGTTCTTCATATTATACTGTTCGAGTATCCCTTTCATCTTGTTTCCTTCGTACGACGTGTCGCCGCGTTCGTCCTGTAATAGATTGGTATTAAAGTCCCCAAGAAGGACTATATTTAAGAATTTTGTCCAGATATTTTCCATTAATTTTGGAAACGCTGTGAAGAATTCATTGTTTTGGTTTGGTGGCCGGTATATAGTTCCTACCAGGATGTCTCTTGAGTCAGCCTTTACTTGCATACATATCCCTTCCACTTGTTCATCTTCCAAGTCCGGTCGATGGATTGCTTTCAGCGACTTGCGATAATATATCACACAGCCCCCGCCTTGTCTGCCTGGTCTGTCTCTTCGGATCAGATTGTAATCTTCAATATCTATTTCTCCGTCAATGATTTCGCTGTTTAAGTGCGTTTCTGTTACTCCGAATACGTCGAAACGACATAGCTTTAGAAGGATTCGTAATTCGTCCACCTTTTTCCGTAAGCGACTTTCAGTCTTTATGTATGTTGAATGTTATCAGATGACGGTTTTTTTCCCTTTCTGTATCTTTTATCTCATTTCTCCTTAAATTTCTAATATGTTAAAGGCCTTTTGGTGATACACTATCAACAGTTGTCAGAATCTTTACCTTTCAGTGTGTCATCGTCAAAGTTAAGCTCTTGTCCGGTACCAAGTGATGTAACATCACTCTCACTTGCTGCTCCGTTTCCACTCTGTGCCATAATGGTTTGATCTGGAAAAATCAGTATAAAGCTGTAAATCGACATTATCTTCACTTGTATATAAAGCATTAGTACCAAAACAGCCATTCATTTTGCCACAAGTGGTAAAAAAACCACCTCCAGTAGAGATACTGTTTAACGACTTTGACTCTTTAACCACTTCCGTATGTTGAATGTTTTCAAAGGACGGTTTTTTGTCTTTTTTGTATATTTTATTTCATTTTCCCTTTAGTTTGCTATATTAAAGGCCTTTTGGTGATACACTATTAACAGTTGTAAGAATCTTTACCGTTCAGTGTGTCATCATCAAAATTCAGCTTTTGTCCGGTACCAAGTGATGTAACATCACTCTCACATGCTGCTCCGTTTCCACTCTGTGCCATAATGGTTTGATCTTGAAAAATCGGCGAAAAGCTTTAAATTAATATTAACTTCACTTGTATAAGCACTGTTACCAAAACAACCATTCATTTTGACACAAGTGGTAAACTCACATCGTTATAAAACTTTTATTGACTGACTTGACTTGCTACTTAAAGATGATTGGCTGTTATAAACACATCAACAACAACACTTTTTTTACTTTAAAAACTAAATAAACTTAAGATTGAATTAACACTAAAATAACCCTTTCAAATAATAATAATAACAATAATAATAATAATAATATAATAGTTATAAGAATTATAATAATAAATGGTACTATACAATGTGAAGGTGCCGTGGCTGCACCATAGGACTTCGACATCCGTTGTTATAAATGCCTTGCTAATTATTTCTGTTGATGGGTTCAAGCGCATAACAAATTATCATGGAAATATTGTTTGGTAAACCTTTCTAAAACCGCAACTGGGCACAATATCACACTATCAAAGCCGGTCTTGTTGGAGAAGTATACGCATGCGGAAAAAAAGATTAAAGAGCGGCTAGGGGTATACGGAACACCGTAACAGCGCAATGAAAAATTAAGAAATTGACACAACCATGCTAAAAATCGCCGAGCCAATCACAAAAAATTCCGCATGTTTAGAAATACCACAGTATCACAATTCAAGACCACAATTACATATGGACCTCATGAAAATTTGCCAAACACAATAATACCGCAAAATGTCTCAAGTAAGGCAATAAAATGAAACACTCAACTATACTCTCCCCTCCCCGAGACATATGCAGAGCAATATGTAATGGTGAATCCGCAAGGAAAACGAATTCATCGACCACAAATTTTAGAAAACGTTTTATCACTAGATAAAAAATAAAAAACACCTTCAGTGGAGATAATTTGTAACAACGTTCAGTCTTCATGTATCAAATGTTGACTGTTATCAAATGACGTTTTCTTTTCCTTTCTGTATCTTTTATCTCATTTCTCCTTAAATTTCTAATATGTTAAAGGTCTTTTGGTGATACACTATTAACATTTGTAAGATCTTTACCTTTCAGTGGGTCATCATCAAATTTCAGCTCTTGTCCGGTACCATGTAATGTAACATCACTCTCACTTGCTGCTAAGTTTCCACTCTGTGCCATAATGGTTTGATCTGGAAAAATCAGTATAAAGCTGTAAATTGACATTATCTTCACTTGTATATAAAGCATTAGTACCAAAACAGCCATTCATTTTGCCACAAGTGGCTCGACCACAAATTCTACGAAAAGCCTAATCTAGATAAATAGTTAAAAAACCACCTCCAGTAGAGATACTGTTTAACGACTTTGACTCTTTAACCACTTCCGTATGTTGAATGCCTGTTTCAAATGACGGTTTTTTGTCTTTTTTGTATATTTTATTTCATTTCCCCTTAGTTTGCTATATTAAATGCTTTTTGGTGATACAGTATTAACAGTTGTAAGAATCTTTACGTTTTAGTGTGTCATCATCAAAATTCAGCTCTTGTCCGGTACCAAGTGATGTAACATCACTCTCAAATGCTGCTCCGTTTCCACTCTGTGCCATAATGGTTTGATCTGGAAAAATCGGGAACAAGCTTTAAACTGATATTAACTTCACTTCATCTGTATAAGCACTGTTACCAAAACAACCATTCATTTTGCCACAAGCGGTAAACTCACATTAGTATAAAACTTTTATTGACTGACCAAATCAATCAAAATTCTGTGGCAGGCAGTCATGAAATGCGTGGTGAAGTAATTTTCAAACAACAGGACAGTACACGTAATCTGATTCAATTTTCCATTGTGCTTTCATTCAAGACACGAAACTGTTTTCCAGAATTTAGTAGCTCAGTCGCTCAGGCCACCCTAGTAACCAGCCATTGCCAACTCACTTTTCGACAATCTCGGTGGCTGATTCAGTTTCAGATTCAGAGCGACGGTTGTTGCAGTTGTTTTTTTGTTTCCCTAGTTAATCGACTTAGTAGCAGCAGGGAGTTGCAGTACCACTTCAGTAACACGTGACAGAATCATATTTGAAAACAGAATCAGGAGACAATTGCAGCAATAATCCTTATAAACATATTGTTTCTTTTTGGTGCAAGTTAAACTCGGTAAGTTTACTTTTAGCTTTCTAGAACTTAAGGGGATAATCATCATAATTTGCAACAGCTTTCGTTATTGGTAATACTTCCTGATAAAAACATTGTTAAGTATATAAATTCGGTTTGCTACTTAAAGATGCCTTGGCTGCTATGACCACATCAACACCAACACTGTTCTTACTTTCAAAACTACAAAAAGTTAAGATTGGATTAAAGCTAAAATAACCTTTTCAAATAGTAATAATATTAAGAATAAAATAATAGTTATAAGAACTATAATTATAAATGGTACAATGTGCAGGTGCTGTGGCTGCACCATAGGATTTCAGCATCCGTTAATATAAATGCCTTACTAATTGTTTCTTTTGGTGGGTTCAAACGCATAACAAATTATCATGGAAATATTGTTTGGTAAACCTTTCTAAAACCGCAACTGGGCACAATATCACGCTATTAAAGCCGGTCTTGTAGCAGAAGTATACGCATGCCCAAAAAAATAAGATTAAAGAGCGACTAGGGGTATACCCCTTACCAAATCCAACACTGTTTTGAATGTATTTTTAAGCTATTTTTGAAAACTGTTTTTAACCTGTTTTGTGAAATAGGTTTTAAATAGGGTAAAAAGTGTATTTTTAATGTATTTTTCGACTGCTTTTAAAGGTGTTTTAACCTGTTTAAAACGCTATTAAAAAAGAATTTTTAAAGTATTTTAAAATGCTTTTAAAATATATAAAAAATTCCAGGGCTTTTGCAAGGCTCAAAACAGGTCAAAAACAGTTTTTAAATACCTTATAAATCGGAATAAAAACAGGATAAAAACAGTTTCAAAAACATATTTTAATTTACTATACTATTTTAAAACTATTTTTAATGGCAATTTTAAACGTATTTTGAAAAAAACAGGTTTAAAATAGGTACAAAAATATATTTTTGATATATTTTTCGACTGATTTTAAAGGTGTTTTAACCTGTTTAAAACGCTATTAAAATGTTATGCTTCAAAATATATTTTAATAGCTGTTTAATCGGTTTCGAAATTTAGTAAAATACTCGTATTTGCAAATACAATGAAAATACTTTGAAAACAGTATTAAAATACCACAGAAGAAGAAAAGCAATAGCACACATATATTATGAATTAAATACATCAAAAATAGGATGCAAAAATGCAAAAACAGGATAAAATTGTAAGAACATAGCCTTAGAGTTGTCTGAAAACAGTATAAAAATCGGTCGAAAGAGCATAAAAATAGTACAAAAACAGGATGGAAATACCATTTAAATTCATGAAATAAAATGAATACAAAACCGTCGAAAATTACCCTGAAAAAGCAAGATTTACCTCGGCGAAATTTCTCCACACAGTCCTAGGCTAGGACTTCAAGAGAATTATCTCTTAGCCGATTACTTTACGTTGATTTCCCTAAGAATTCTCGGGAAATTCTTATGGAATTTTTCAGAAATGCTCAAATCAATCTTTAGCCTGTGTACAGACCCCTTCCCTCAATAAAACTCGGAGGGGAGGGGTGGGGGGTTATGTACACAGGCTATCAACCTTTGGCTTCAAAAGGGTATAACGTTACTGACGTTACCGGTAAATATTTTATCTACATGCATGTAACTTACATTGTTTATTATATTCACGGCTTTACTCAAATATCATCAGAAGCTTAATGCAGGCTACGCCTGAACATTAATTAGTGGCTGATAAAGAACAGCATACGAATAAATTTACGCGAGAATGAAAGAGGCCGGTGACGTGACATCAAGTGACTGAGATCATTTATACAAAACAGCGAGTCTCTGCAAGGAACCCTGTAAAAAGTAAAATTGCCGTACGGGCGCGACTATATAAATGTTTACTACCCTTCATTTGTTTCTCATATGGCGTATATCTAAGCGTCTTAGTAACATTGTATATTTAATACTTACAATTAGACTCTTGGACTCTTCTCCTGAACCAGAACCTTCCAAAGTACATAACAGTCGCTGAGGAGTCATAACCATTTTTGATTCGTGATAAAAGCAACATCTACGTGTTCCGACAATCCGCAGAGTTGGAGTGTACTTTTGTAAGATCGTAACAAACAGTAAAATCAAGCGCATTTAAGCTCACAGCAACCGCCCGGTTCAATAATTTGAAATGAGCAAAGGACAAAGGACGGTTTGCTTATCACGTGCATTTGTCACATCACCGCGGCGCGAAGTCGTGATTTCAGTCGCGCGTGACATCTCAAAAATAATATGCCATGCATGTGGGGAATAGTCTATGAGAGAAAGATAACCATATGTCGGAGTTTATTCAGATCTGAGCGTTGTTTCTTAGTGCAATATATACGAGGTGAGATCTTAGCTTGGATGGTTTGTTTTAATTATTATGAAATTTCAAGGACTTATTTTAGACAAATCTCAATTGACCGCGTGCATCCGGTTCTCGGCCCGCGGCTTCGGCTGTTTGCGAAAAATTTCTTCATGAAAATTAAAATGTGATTTTAAGAATTTTCTTTTAAAAAAACTTATGGAATGTCCCGTAGCTGCATTAATTGAATCACGGCTAAAATCTAGGCGGAGATTTTCGCAGAGAGCTTGCAGGTAATGAACATTGAGGAACGGATTGATCCTTTACCGGCACACTGTCACAGTTACGTGTTGTCAGTCAAAGCTAAAATCTATTCCTAATTTTCTTCTCTTTTTTCAATTTCTTTTTGATTTGCTGGGAGATTTAATTTTTGGCTCCGCCTCGAGCTTTATTGAGAGAAGAATCCGGTCCACAATATGACAGCTTGTTTTGAGTCATTTATGAGTTCGTGACATGATGAAGGCTTAAAAATTAACTTTGTGCAATTGTTACTTTTATAGTCTGAGTATAAGTATCCCAAAATACATTACAATATTGCACCTCAATAATTTTAAGTAATAAGTACCCTATTTTAAAGTATTTAAAATAAGGTCAGCATTTGATGTCTTTCAGCAGACTTTAAATATTTTATGTATACAATCTGTTTTTATAGTCAGAGTGTTGTGTGCCCAAAATACAATTCAAATAGACCTCAAAACAGTGTTTAAGTACCCTATTTAAAAGTATTTGAAATGCGGTCAGTAGTTAAGGACTTAAAACATATTTCAAATAGTCTATTTGAACTCTGTTTGTAACTTTGTGAGTGGATGCGTCTCAAAATACATTTTCGATACAACTCAAAACAGTGTTAAAGTACCCTATTTAAAAGTATTTAAGATACGGTCAGCATTTAGGCTCTCAAAACATATTTTAAATAGTCTATTTGAATTATGTTTGTAACTTTGTGAGTGGATGCGCCTCAAAATACATTGTAGATGCAACTCAAAACAGTGTTAAAGCACCCTATTTAAAAGTATTTAAAAAACAGTCGCATTTAAGCCCTTAAAACATATTTCAAATAGTCTATTTGAACTCTGTTTGTAACAGTGTTAGTGGTTCTATGCCCAAAATACATTTGAAATACCCTATTTTAATCATATTTATTAAACAAAATACATTGTAAATTGATGAGAGAGGTTTTCCTTTTGATGAAATATAATTTAACTACACTTAAGATATATTCCAAACAGGGGCGAAAATTTAAATTTTTTTGTCAAATAGGATTAAAATACAGGAAAATAGTATTCAAATACTGAAAATACATTTTAAACACTTTAAAATCAGTTTCAAAATACATATGGTTTGGTAAGGGACGGAACACCGTAACACCGAGAAGAAAAATCGGCGAATTCAACAAAACCATGCCAAAAATTAAATCGCCGAGCCAATGAAAAAAAGATTCCCCATGTCTGAAAATACCACAATATGAAAATTAAAGACTACAATTCCATAAGTACCGCATGAAAATTTGCCAAACACAATAATACCGCAAAATTTCTCAATGAAAGGCGATAAAATGTAACACTCTACTATACTCTCCCCTCCCCGAGACAGATGCAGGGCTATATGTAATGGTGAATCCGCAAGAAAAACGAATTCATCGAGCACAAATTGTAGAAAAAGTTTAATCTAGATAAAAAATAAAAACACCTTCACTGGAGATAATGTTTAACGACTTTCAGTCTTGATGTATCAAATGTTAAATGTTATCAAATGACGTTTTTTTTTCCTTTCTGTATCTTTTATTTCATTTCTCCCTAAATTTCTCATGTTAAAGGCCTTTTGGTGATACACTATTAACAGCTGTAAGAATCTTTACCTTTCAGTGTGTCATCATCAAAGTTCAGCTCTTGTTCGGTACCATGTGATGTAACATCACTCTCACTTGCTGCTCCGTTTCCACTCTGTACCATAATGGTGTGATCTGGAAAAATCAGTATAAAGCTGTAAATTGACATTATCTTCACTTGTATATAAAGTACTAGTACGAAAACAGCCATTCATTTTGCTACAAGTCGTAAAATCGACCTCAAATGATTCTAGGAAAAGTCTAATCTAGATAAAAATTTAAAAAACTACTTTCAGTAGAGATACTGTTTAACGACTATGACTCTTTAACCACTTCCGTTTGTTGAATGTTTTCAAATGACGATTTTTTGTCATTTTTGCATATTTTATTTTATTTGTCATTAGTTTGCTATATTAAAGGTCCTTTGGTGATACACTATTAACAGTTGTAAGAATCTTTACCTTTCAGTGTGTCATCATCAAAGTTCAGCTCTTGTCCGGTACCAAGTGATGAAACTTCACTCTCACATGCTGCTGCGTTTCCACCCTGTGCCATAATGGTTTGATCTGGAAAAATCGGTAAAAAGCTTTAAATTAATATTAACTAGTATTAACTAGTATTAACTAATATTAGATAAAAAATAAAAAACACCTTCCGTGGAGATAATGTTTAACGACTTTCAGTCTTCATGCATCAAATGTTGAATGTTATCACATGACGGTTTTTTTCCTTTCTGTATCTTTTATTTCGTTTCCCCTTAAATTTCTCATGTTAAAGGTCTTTTGGTGATACACTTTTAAACAGTTGTAAAAATCTTTACTTTTTAGTATGTCATCATCAAAGTTCAGCTCTTGTCCGGTACCATGTGATGTAACATCACTCTCACTTGCTGCTCCGTTTCCACTCTGTACCATAATGGTTTGATCTGGAAAAATTAGTATAAAGCTGTAAATTGACATTATCTTCACTTGTATATAAAGTACTGGTACGAAAACAGCCATTCATTTTGCTACAAGTCGCAAAATCGACCACAGCTGATTGTAGGAAAAGTCTAATCTAGATAAAAAATTAAAAAACTACCTTCAGTAGAGATACTCTTTAACGACTTTCACTCTTAAACCACTTCCGTATCTTGAATAATTTCAAATGACGGTTCTTTTTCTTTTTTGTGTATTTTATTTCATTTTCCTTTAGTTTGCTATATTTAAGGCCCTTTGGTGATACACTATTAACAGTTGTAAGAATCTTTACCTTTCAGTGTGTCATCATCAAAATTCAGCTCTTGTCCGGTACCAAGTGATGTAACATCACTCTCACATGCTGCTCCGTTTCCACTCTGTGCCATAATGGTTTGATCTGGAAAAATCGGTAAAAAGCTCTAAATTAATATTAACTAGTATTAACTAATATTAGATAAAAAATAAAAAACACCTTCAGTGGAGATAATGTTTAACGACTTTCAGTCTTCATGTATCAAACGTTGAATGTTATCAAATGACGATTTTTTGTCGTTATTCTATTTGTCCTTAGTTTGCTATATTAAAGGCCTTTTGGTGATACAGTATTAACAGTTGTAAGAATCTTTACCTTTCAGTGTGTCATCATCAAAGTTCAGCTCTTGTCCGGTACCATGTGATGTAACATCACTCTCACTTGCTGCTCCGTTTCCACTCTGTGCCATAATAGTTTGATCTGGAAAAATCAGTATAAAGCTGTAAATTGACACTATCTTTACTTGTATATAAAGCACCAGTACCAAAACAGCCATTCATTATGCCACAAGTGATAAACTCGATCACAAATTCTACGAAAAGCCTAATATTAATCTAGATAAAAAATGAAAAAACCACCTTCAGTAGAGATACTGTTTAACTACTTTGCCTCTTTAACCATTTCCGTTTGTTGAATAATTTCAAATGACGGTTTTTTGTCTTTTTTGTATATTTTATTTCATCTGTCCATAGTTTGTAACCTTTAAGGCCTTATGGTGATACAGTATTAACAGTAGTAAGAATCTTTACCTTTCAGTGTGTCATCATCAAAGTTCAGCTCTTGTCCGGTACCATGTGATGTAACATCACTCTCAATTGCCCCTCCGTTTCCACTCTGTGCCATAATGGTTTTATCTGGAAAATCAGTATAAAGCTATAAATTGACCTTATGCTCACCTGTATATAAAGCACCAGTACCAAAACATCCATTCATTATGCCACAAATGATAAACTCGATCACAAATTCTAGGAAAAGCCTAATCTAGATAAAAAATGAAAAAACCACCTTCAGTAGAGATACTGTTTAACGACTTTGACTCTTTAACCACTTCTGTTTGTTGAATAATTTCAAATGACGGTTTTTTTTTTTGGTATATTTTATTTCATCTGTCCTAAGGCCTTCTGGTGATACAGTATTAACAGTTGTAAGAATCTTTACCTTTTAGTGTGTCATCGTCAAAGTTGAGCTCTTGTCCGGTACCATGTGATGTAACATCACTCTTACTTACTGCTCCGTTTCCAACCTGTGCCAGAATAGTTTGATCTGGAAACATCAGTATAAAGCTGTAAATTGACACTATCTTTACTTGTATATAAAGCACTAATACCAAAACAACCATTCATTATGCCATAAGTGATAAACTCGAAAAGAAATTCTGCGAAAAGCCTAATGTACATAAAAAAAAGAAAATGAAAAACCCACTTTTAGTAGAGATACCGTCGACTTTGACTCTTTAACCACTTCCGTCTGTTGAACGTTTTCAGATGACGGTTTTTTGTCTTTTTTTAAATTTTATTTCATTTGTCCTTAGTTTGCTATATTAGAGGCCTTTTGGTGATACACTATTAACAGTTGTAAGAATCTTTACTTTTCAGTGTGTCATCATCAAAATTCAGCTCTTGTCCGGTACCAAGTGATGTAACATCACTCTCACATGCTGCTCCGTTTCCACCCTGTGCCATATTGGTTTGATCTGGAAAAATCGGCAAAAAGCTTTAAATTAATATTAACTACTATTAACTAGTATTAACTAATATTAGATAAAAAATAAAAATAACCTTCAGTGGATATAATGTTTAACTACTTTTAGTCTTCATGTATCAAATGTTGAATGTTATCAAATGACGGTTTTTTCCTTTCGGTATCTTTTGACTCATTTCTCCATAAATTTCTCATGTTAAAGGCCTTTTGGTTATACACTATTAACAGTTATAAGAATCTTTACCTTTCAGTGTGTCATCATCAAAGTTCAGCTCTTGTCCGGTACCATGTGATGTAACATCACTCTCAATTGCCGCTTCGTTTCCACTCTGTGCCATAATGGTTTGATCTGGAAAATCAGTATCAAGCTATAAATTGACCTTATCCTCACTTGTATATAAAGCACCAGTACCAAAACATCCATTCATTATGCCACAAATGATAAACTCGATCACAAATTCTACGAAAAGCCTAATCTAGATAAAAAATGAAAAAACCACCTTCAGTAGAGATACTGTTTAACGAATTTGACTCTTTAACCAGTTCTGTTTGTTGAATAATTTCAAATGACGGTTTTCTGTCGTTTTTGTATATTCTATTTCATCTGTCCTAAGGCCTTCTGGTGATACAGTATTAACAGTTGTAAAAATCTTTACCTTTTAGTGTGTCATCGTCAAAGTTCAGCTCTTGTCCGGTACCATGTGATGTAACATCACTCGTACTTACTGCTCCGTTTCCAACCTGTGCCATAATAGTTTGATCTGGAAAAATCAGTATAAAGCTGTAAATTGACACTATCTTTACTTGTATATAAAGCACTAGTACCAAAACAACCATTCATTATACCATAAGTGATAAACTCGAAAAGAAATTCTGCGAAAAGCCTAATGTACATAAAAAAAAAGAAAATGAAAAACCCACTTTTAGTAGAGATACCGTCGACTTTGCCTCGTTAACCACTTCCGTTTGTTGAATAATTTCAAATGACGGTTTTTTGTCTTTTTCAAAATTTTATGTCATCTGTCCTTAGTTTGCTACATTAAATGCCTTTTGGTGATACACTATTAACAGTTGTAAGAATCTTTACCTTTCTCTGTGTCATCATCAAAGTTCAGCTCTTGGCCGGTACCATGTGATGTAACATCACTCTCACTTTCTGCTCCGTTTCCACTCTGTGCCATAATGGTTTGATCTGGAAAAATTAGTATAACGCTGTAAATTGACACTATCTTTACTTGTATATAAAGCACTAGTACCAAAATAACCATTAATTATGCCACACGTGATAAACTCGAAAAGAAATTTTACGAAAAGCCTAATCTAGAAAATAAAAAAAAAATGAAAAACCCACCTTTAGTAGAGATACTGTCGACTTTGACTCTTTAACCACTTGCGTATGTTGAATGTTTTCAAATGACGGTTTTTTGTCTTTTTTTAAATTTTTTTTCATTTGTCCTTAGTTTGCTATATTAGAGGCCTTTTGGTGATACACTATTAACAGTTGTAAGAATCTTTACCTTTCAGTGTGTCATCATCAAAATTCAGCTCTTGTCCGGTACCAAGTGATGTAACATCACTCTCACATGCTGCTCCGCTTCCACTCTGTGCCATGATGGTTTGATCTGGAAAAATCGGCAAAAAGCTCTAAATTAGTATTAACTAGTATTAACTAGTATTAACTAATATTAGATTAAAAAAAAAAAAACACCTTCAGGGGAGATAATGTTTAACGACTTTCGGTCTTCATGTATCAAACGTTGAATGTTATCAAATGCCGATTTTTTTGTCGTTATTCTATTTGTCCTTAGTTTGCTATATTAAAGGCCTTTTTGTGAAACACTGTTAACAGTTTTAAGAATCGTTACCTTTCAGTGTGCCATCATCAAAGTTCAGCTCTTGTCCGGTACCATGTGATGTAACATCACCCTCACTTGCTGCTCCGTTTCCACTCTGTGCCATAATGGTTTGATCTGGAAAATCACTATAAAGCTATAAATTGACATTATCTTTACTTGTATATAAAGCACCAGTACCAAAACATCCATTTATTATGCCACAAGTGTTGAACTCGACCACAAATTCTACGAAAAGCCTAATCTAGATAAAAAATGAGAAAAACACCTTTAGTAGAGATACTGTTTAACGACTTTGCCTCGTTAACCACTTCCGTTTGTTGAATAATTTCAAATGACGGTTTTTTGTCTTTTTTGTATATTCTATTTCATCTGTCCTCAGTTTGTAATCTTTAAGGCCTTCTGGTGATACGGTATTAACAGTTGTAAGAATCTTTACCTTTTACTGTGTCGTCGTCAAAGTTCAGCTCTTGTGCGGTACCATGTGATGTAACATCACTCTCACTTGCTGCTCCGTTTCCACTCTGTGCCATAATAGTTTGATCTGGAAAAATCAGTATAAAGCTGTAAATTGACACTATCTTTACTTGTATATAAAGCACTAGTACCAAAACAACCATTCATTATGCCATAAGTGATAAACTCGAAAAGAAATTTTGCGAAAAGCCTAATCTAGATAGAAAAAAAGAAAATGAAAAACCCACTTTTAGTGGAGATACTGTCGACTTTGACTCTTTAACCACTTCCGTATGTTGAATGTTTTCAAATGACGGTTTTTTGTCTTTTTTTAAATTTTATCTTATTTGTCCTTAGTTTGCTATATTAGAGGCCTTTTGGTGATACACTATTAACAGTTGTAAGAATCTTTACCTTTCAGTGTGTCATCATCAAAGTTCAGCTCTTGTCCGGTACCAAGTGATGTAACATCACTCTCACATGCTGCTCCGTTTCCACTCTGTGCCATAATGGTTTGATCTGGAGAAATCAGTATAAAGCTTTAAATTAATATTAACTTCACTTGTATTTGCACTGTTACCAAAACAACCATTCATTTTGCCAAGTGGTAAACTCACATTAGTATAAAACGTTTATTGACTGAGCAAATCAATCAAAAGTATGTGGCAGGCAGTTAAGAAATGCGTGAAGTAATTTTCAAACAACAGGACACGTAATCTGATTCACTCTTTTGTTGAGCTTTCAATTAAGGCATGAAACTGCTTTCCAGAATTCAGTAGCCCAGTCGCTCAGGCCACCCTAGTAACCAACTATTGCGAACACACTTTTCGACAATGTCGGTAGCTGATTCAGTTTCAGATTCAGAGCGACGATTTTTGCAGTTATTTTTTGTTACCCCAGTTAAACGACTTAGTAGCAGCAGGGGGTTACAGTACCAGGAGTCAATTGCAGCAATAATCCTTATAAACATATTGTTTCTTTTTGGTGGAAGTGAAATTCGGTAAAGTTTACTTTTAGCTTTAAAGAACTTAATGGGATAATCGTCATAATTTGGAACAGGTTTCGTTATTGGTAATACTTTGTTGATGAAAATTCGTGATAAAAACACTGTTAAGTATTTAAATTCGGTTTGCTACTTAAAGCACGTAGGGCCAGCTGTGGTACCACGGTTTGAAACGTGCGGAAAGAGAGTCAAAAAACAAGATTGATTTCATCCACGGTTAACTGTATTTTTTCTGCTTTATTAACGCGCGCGTTGTCGGGTTATTTAGTTGAAGTTTTCTCCGGACCGATTTGGCTTTACCCTTTCGGCGCTGACTCTCTTTCCAGGTCTGTTCACTGTGCCCCTGATGAGAATGACAGACCTTCTGAGCGGACTAAAATTTTAAATAACATCAGTCTATGTTCCCGTCTATATTAGTGAGCTCACTAGTACTTAATAACAGTGTAACATAGCTATTTATCTATTTAGTTCTCGTACCATAGCTAAATGAGTATTTACCACTTACTTAATGCTATGCATTCTTATTAAAAAATAACTAACGTATTTGTGGCTATTCTTCCCGCAGCTGCATGTAGTTTACGCTCAATGAACTGATGTGTAGTCATTGAACCACTGGTGTGGTTATTGATCTGTTGTCTACTTATTGAACTGCTGTGTCGTTATTGAACTAACAAAAAAGAAAAGATGTTTGGCTGCTATGACCACATCAACAACAACACTTTTCTTACTTTGAAAATGACAGAAACTTAAGATTGGATTAACACTTAAACAAACTTTTCAAATAGTAATAATAATAATAATAATATGATAGTTATAATAATTATAATAATAAACGGTAAAATGTGAAGGTGCTGTGGCTGAGCTATAGGATATCAGCATCCTTTATTATAAATGCCTTTCTAATTATTTCTGTTGATGGGATTAACCGCATAACACATTATCATGGAAATATTGTTTGGCACTAAAAGTGTACACTTTTCTAAAACCGCAACTGGTCACGGTATCACACTATGAAAGCCGGTCTTGTAGCAGAAGTATACGCATGCGCAAAACAAAGTTGAAGAGCGGCTAGGGGTATACCGAACACCGTAACACAGCAATGAAAAATCGAAAAATTGGACACAACGACGCTAAAAATCGCCTAGCCAATAACAAAAAATTCCGCATGTTTAAATATACCAAAATATCGGAATTCAAGACCACAATTACAGAAGTACCGCATGAAAATTTGGCAAACACAATAATGCCGCAAACTTTCTCAATGTAAGGTGATAAAATGTAACACTCTACTATAGTCTCCCCTCCCCGAGACAGACGTTTGATTCCAAATGCCTCACGGTGCAGTGGGCAAAAGAGCCTAGAGGCAACGCAAATGCCTAAAGGGGATGGTCACACTTCAAATTTACTGACCCATTTTAGTTGATTGCAGGCCCTTTCACCGGAGTTGAGGGTTCTTCGTTTTCGAGTTGAGTGTATTTCGGTTTCCAAAAAATACAGGATACTTGGTTCTTTTCCCATTCGTGGTTGTTTCTGTTTTTCTTGTAGGTCTCTCCAATTAAGCTTCGTATTCGACAATCTGTTTTGCTGTTATCAAGTACGTCATAAGCAAAACTCTCGATTTTCGAAATTGGGGTGGATCGAAACCTGAGTAGCACTCTGGATTTCAAGTGACGAGTTTGATCGAATAATTTCTTGGGTTTGAAATTTTCGATTTCGGGATTTTCTTGGGGTAGCTAAGGAAAATTTGGCAAAAATTTTGTCGGCTGGCTTGATTTAACTGAAAATTGTTATTCGTGGTTTGCTTGCTTATTCCGGCCGTGTAGTTGTGTATGGGATTTTTTTTTTTTTTTTTTTTTTGGGGGGGGGGGGGGGGTGTGGTAATTTTTTGGTCCAGGGATTTTTTGGGCTTTTGAATTTTGCTCCCATTCGAACATCCACGTCACTTTAAACCGGGAATACCCCCTGAAACTTGCTGTGGGAAAAGCTTTGTTCGCACTTTTGATAAATAAAATAAGAACTACCGTGATAAAAAAAATCGCAAAAATTAATTGAATGTTTTGAATGGCAAGAAAATTGAATTGCGAGGATTAAGCGAAGGTCTATTTGCTGAACTGATTCAGTTTTCGAGAAGGAAAACCATTTGAATTAAGAAGCTTGTCTTTAGTGGACCCGGCTAATTAAGGACGAGTTTTAAAATTTGTGCTAAAGGACCACAAGTCATGATGGAAAGTCTGTCTTAGATGGAATGACCGTCTTTAATAAATCCGCATGGGCTCGTTCTCTCTCTCTCTCTCTGTTTTTTTTTTCCTAAATGGGGAAAACACGAATCTGTTTTGCTGTTATGAAGTACGTCATAAGCAAAACTTTCGATTAAGAAATTTGGGGTGGAACGAAACTCCAGTGGAGGTACTCCGGATTTCAAGTGACGGCGATGATCAATATTAGAATTAAAGACCACAATTACATAAGTACCGCATGAAAATTTGCCAAACACAATGATACCGCAAAATTTCTCAATGTAAGGCAATAAAGTGTAACACTCGACTACACTCTCCCCTTCCCGAGACACATGCAGGGCTATATGTAATGGTGAATCCGTAAGGAAAACGAATTCATCGACCACAAATTTTAGAAAAAGTTTAATCTGTAGATAAAAAATAAAAAACACCTTCAGTGGAGATAATGTTTAACCACTTTCAGTCTTTACGTATGTTGAATGTTATCAAATGACGTTTTTTTTTCCTTTCTGTATCTTTTATTTCATTTCTCCTTAAATTTCTATGTTAAAGGCCTTTTGGTAATACACTATTTACCTTTCAATGTGTCATCATCAAAGTTCAGCTCTTGTCCCGTACCAAGTGATGTAACATCACCCTCACTTGCTGCTCCGTTTCCACTCTGTGCCATAATGGTTTGATCTGGGAAAATGAGTATAAAGCTGTAAATTGACATTATCTTCACTTGTATATAAAGCACTAGTACCAAAACAGCCATTCATTTTGTCACAAGTGGTAAACTCGACCACAATTGATTCTAGGAAAAGCCTAATCTAGATAAAAAGTTAAAAAACCACCTTCAGTAAAGATAAAGTTTAACGACTTTGACTCTTTAACCACTTCCGTATGTTGAATGTTTCAAATGACGGTTTTTTTCCTTTCTGTATCTTTTATTTCATTTCTCCTTATATTTCTATGTTAAAGGCCTTTTTGTGATACACTATTAACAGTTGTAAGAATCTTTACCTTTCAGTGTGTCATCATCAAAGTTCAGCTCTTGTCCGGTACCAAGTGATGTAACATCACTCTCACTTGTTGCTCCGTTTCCACTCTGTGCCATAATGGTTTGATCTGGATATATCGGTAAAAAGCTTTAAATTAATATTATCTTCACTTATATAAGCACTGTTACCAAAACAACCATTCATTTTGGCGCAAGTGGTAAACTTACATTAGTATCACATTTTTATTGACTGAACAAATAAATCAATTTTCTGTGGCAGGCGGTCATGAAGGGCGTGGTGAAGTAATTTTCAAACAAAAGGACAGTACATGTAATCTGATTCAGTTTTCCATTGTGCTTTAATTTCATTGAAGAAATGAAACTGTTTTCCAGAATTCAGTAGCCCAGTCGCTCAGGCCACCCTAGTAACCAACCATTGCCAACTCACTTTTCGACAATCTCGGTGGCTGCCGGTGGCTGACTTTCTCAATGTAAGGCGATAAAAATTTAAAACTCTACTGTACTCTTCCCTCCCCGAGAAAGACGTTTGATTCCAAATGCCCCACGGTGCTGTGGGCAAAAGAGCCTAGAGACAACGCAAATGCCTAAAGGGGATAGTCACACTTCAAATTAACTGACCCATTTTAGTTGATTGCAGACCCTTTCACCGGAGGTGAGGGTTCTTCGTTTTCGAGTTGAGTGTATTTCGGTTTCCAAAAAATAGAAGATACTTGGTTCTTTTCTCATTCGTGGTTGTTTCCTTTTTACTCGTACGTCTCTTCGAGTAAGCTTCGTTTTCGACAATCTGTTTTGCTCTTGTGAAACACGTCACAAGCAAAACTTTCGATTAAGAAATTTGGGGTGGAACGAAACTCCAGTGGAGGTACTCCGGATTTCAAGCGACGGCGATGATCGGAAGGATTTTTAGGGTTTAAAATTTTAAATTCCGGGATTCTTTTGGAGTAGGAAAAATTTGGCAAGTATTTTCTTAGTTGGCTTGATTTTAACTGAATAATCTTGGTGGTGCGTAGTTCTGTATGGGATTTTTTTTGGAGTTAATTTTTGGTCCAGGGAATTTCGGGGGTTTTGATTTTTGCCCACATTCGGTCATCCACGTCTCTTGAAATCCGGAATACCCATTTAGAAAGAAACTTGCTATGGTATAAAAAAATAAAATGTTGCATTATAATTGTGGGTACAAAAGATAAGTGTACAATGCGGACTATCGAGTGCAACTTTTTAGTATGTTCATTTCCGTCTTCGTCTGGTTGCTACAGATTAAAACGAAAAAAAAGACAGAGATAATTTATTGCCCTGTTAGGCAAATGGTGTCACTTGTTAACTCATCAAGGGCGTTGATCATGACATTGGTCACAGACTTGTGAAATAGGGGCAAATTTGGTCGTTCCGTTCCTCACTTTCAGATGTTAAAAATACTAAGAAAGCAGAAAATGCATTAAATTTGTAGCTCACACTAATAAACCGTTATGCGGTGCGTGTGCATCTTTCGGGTTGACGGGTTGGCGGGAAAATTGAAAGTCGTCGACCACGAATTTAGAAAAAGTTTAATCTAGATATAAAGAAAAAAACACCTTCAGTGGGGATAATGTTTAACGACTTTCAGTCTTTATGTGTGTTGAATGTTATCAAATGACGGTTTTCTTCCTTTCTGTATCTTTTATTTCATTTCTCCTTAAATTTCTATGTTAAAGGCCTTTTAGTGATACACTATTAACAGTTGTCAGAATCCTTACCTTTCAGTTTGTCATCATCAAAATTCAGCTTTTTTCCGGTACCAAGTAATGTAACATCACCCTCACTTGCTGCTGCGTTTCCACTCTGTGCCATAATGGTTTGATCTGGAAAAATCAGTATAAAGCTGTAAATTGACATTATCTTCACTTGTATATAAAGCACTAGTACCAAAGCAGCCATTCATTTCGCCAAAAGTGCTAAACTCGTCCACAAATTCTAGGAAAAGCCTAATCAGGATACCTTCAGTAGAGATAATGTTTAACGACTTTGACTCTTTAAACACTTCCGTATGTTGAATGTTTTCAAAGGACGGTTTGTTGTCTTTTTTGTATATTTTATTTCATTTCCCTTTAGTTTGCTATATTAAATGCCTTTTGGTGATACACTATTAACAGTTGTAAGAATCTTTACCTTTCAGTGTGTCATCACCAAAATTCAGCTCTTGTCCGGTACCAAGTGATGTAACATCACTCTCAAATTCTGCTCCGTTTCCACTCTGTACCATCATGGTTTGATCTGGAAAAATCGGAGAAAAGCTTTAAATTAATATTAACTTTACTTGCATAAGCACTGTTACCAAAACAAAACTCACATTTGTATAAAGCTTTTATTGACTGAACAAACCAATTAAAATTCTGCAGCAGGCTGTCATGAAATGCGTGGTGAAGTACTTTTCAAACAACGGGACAGTACACGTAATCTGATTGAGTTGTGCTTTCAAACAAGACATGAAACTGCGTTTTCGTATTCGGTAGCCCAGTCGCTCAGGTCACCATAGTAGCCAAGCATTGTCAACTCACTTTTCGACAATCTCGGTGGCTGATTCAGTTTCAGATTCAGAGCGACGTTTTTGCAGTTTTTTTGTTACGTTAGTCAATCGACTTACTAGCAGCAGAGAGTTACAGTACCACTTCAGTAAGATGTGACAGAACCATATTTGAAAACAGAATCAGGAGTCAATAACAGCAATAATCCTTATAAACATACTGTTTCTTTTTGGTACAAGCGAAATTCGGTAAAGTTTACTTTTAGCTTTATAGAACTTAAGGGGATAATCGTCATCATTTGCAACAGCTTTCGTTATTGGTAATACTTTGTTGATGAAAATTCGTGATAAAAACACTGTTAAGTATATAAATTCGGATTCCTACTTACAGATGTTTGGCTGCTATGACCACATCAACAACAACACTTTTTTTAGTTTCAAAACTACAAAAACTAAGATTGGATTAACCCTAAAATAACCTTTTAAAATTATAATAATAATAACGGAAACTTTATTTGTGTTTTTGAATGTACAATTGTAAATCTCGCTACGTATAGGCGATTTAAAAATGCTGCTTGAGATTGGATTATTAAAAAGAAAAAAAAAACAAAAACAAAAACAAAACAAAACAAAAAAAAAAAAAATTCAAAATTGCATTAAGCCTGGGCTATCCCGGTTCCTATTTCTACAACAAAAGATGTAATATGTTGCTCTAATGGCTATATTTATCATTTTCTTGATTATATAACGTTGCTGCTTTTTGTCGATGCCAATGTCATTCATCATGTCTAAGAATAATGATAATAAAAATAATAATAATAATAATAATAATAACATAATAGTTATTGTATTTATAATAATAAATGGTACAATGTGCAGGTGCTGTGGTTGCACCACAGGATTTCAGCATCTGTTAATATAAATGCCTTACTAATTGTCTCTGTTGATGGGTTTAAACGCATCACAAATTACCATGGAAACATTGTTTGGTAAACCTTTCTAAAACCGCAACTGGGCACAATATCACACTATTAAAGCCGGTCTTGTAGCAGAAGTATACGCATGCGCAAAAATTAAGATTGAAGAGTTGCTAGGGGTATACGGAACACCGTAACACCGCAAAGAAAAATCGACGAATTCGACAAAGCCATGCTAAAAATCACGAGCCAATCAAAAAAAAATTCCGCATGGTTAGACATACCACAATATTAGAATTAAAGACAACAATTACATAAGTGCCGCATGAAAATTTGCCAAATACAATAATACCGCGAATTTTCTCAATGTAAGGCGCTAGAAATGTAAAACTCTACTATACTCTCCCGTCCCCGAGACAGATACAGGGGTATATGTAACGGTTAATCCGCAAGGAAAAAGGAATTGATCGACCACAAATTTTAGAAAAAGTTTAATCTGTAGATAAAAAATAAAAAACACCTTCAGTGGAGATAATTTTTAATGACTTTCAGTCTTTATGTATCAAATGTTGAATGTTATCAAATGACCTTTTTTTTCTGCATCTTTTATTTCATTTCTCATTAAATTTCTCATGTTAAAGGCCTTTTGGTAATACACTATTAACAGTTGTAAGAATCTTTACCTTTCAGTGTGTCATCATCAAAGTTCAGCTCTTGTCCGGTACCAAGTGATGTAACATCACCCTCACTTGCTGCTGCGTTTCCACTCTCTGCCATAATGGTTTGATCTGGAAAAATCAGTATAAAGCTGTAAATTGACATTATCTTCACTTGTATATAAATCATTAGTACCAAAACAGCCATTCATTTCGCCACAAGTGGTAAACTCGACCACAAATTCTACGAAAAGCCTAATCTAGATAAAAAGTTAAAATACCACCTCCAGTAGAGATACTGTTTAACGACTTTGACTCTTTAACCACTTCCGTATGTTGAATGTTTTTTGTCTTTTTGGTAAATTTCATTTCATTTCTCCTTATTTTGCTATATTAAAGGTCGTTTGGTAATACACTATTAACAGTTGTAAGATATCTTTACCTTTCAGTGTGTCATCATCAAAGTTCAGCTCTTGTCCGGTACCAAGTGATGTAACATCACCCTCACTTGCTGCTGCGTTTCCACTCTGTGCCATAATGGTTTGATCTGGAAAAATGAGTATAAAGCTGTAAATTGACATTATCTTCACTTGTATATAAAGCACTACTACCAAAACAGCCATTCATTTTGCCACAAGTGGTAAACTCGACCACAACTGATTCTAGGAAAAGCCTAATCTAGATAAAAAATGAAAAAAGCACCTTCAGTAGAGATAATGTTTAACGACTTTGACTCTTTAAACACTTCCGTATGTTGAATGTTTTCAAAGGACGGTTTGTTGTCTTTTTTGTATATTTTATTTCACTTCCCCTTAGTTTGCTATATTAAATGCCTTTTGGTGATACACTATTCACAGTTGTAAGAATCTTTACCTTTCAGTGTGTCATCACCAAAATTCAGCTTTTGTCCGGTACCAAGTGATATAACATCACTCTCAAATTCTGCTCCGTTTCTACTCTGTGCCATTATGGTTTGATCTGGAAAAATCGGTGAAAAGCTTTAAATTATTATTAACTTCACTTGCATAAGCACTGTTACCAAAACAACCAGTCATTTTGCCACAAGTGGTAGACTCACATTGGTATAAAACTTTTATTGACTGAACAAATCAATTAAAATTCTGTAGCAGGCAGTCATAAAAAGCGTGGTGAAGTACTTTTCAAACAACGGGACAGTACACGTAATCTGATTGAGTTTTCCATTGTTCTTTCAATCAAGATATAAAACTGCGTTTTCGTATTCAGTAGCCCAGTCGCTCAGGCCACCATTGTAGCCAAGTATTGTCAACTCACTTTTCGACAATCTCGGTGGCTGATTCAGTTTCAGATTCAGAGCGACGTCTTTTGCAGTTTTTTTTGTTAAAAAACACCTTCAGTGGAGATAATGTTTAACTTCTTTTAGTCTTTATGTGTGTTGAATGTTATCAAATGACGGTTTTTTTCCTATCTGTATCTTTTATTTCATCTCTCCTTAAATTTCTATGTTAAAGGCCTTTTGGTGATACACTATTAACAGTTGTCAGAATCTTTACCTTTCAGTTTGTCATCATCAAAGTTCAGCTCTTGTCCGGTACCAAGTGATGTAACATCACCCTCACTTGCTGCTGCGTTTCCACTCTGTGCTATAATGGTTTGATCTGGAAAAATCAGTAAAAAGCTTTAAATTGATATTATCTTCATTTCCATATAAAGCACTAGTACCAAAGCAGCCATTCCTTTCGCCACACGTGCTAAACTCGTCCACAAATTCTAGGAAAAGCCTAATCAAGATACCTTCAGTAGATATAATGTTTAACGACTTTGACTCTCTAACCACTTCCGTATGTTGAATGATTTCAAAAAACGGTTTGTTGTCTTTTTTGTATATCTTATTTCATTTCCCTTTAGTTTTCTATGTTAAATGCCTTTTGGTGATACACTATTCACAGTTGTAAGAATCTTTACCTTTCAGTGTGTCATCACCAAAATTCAGCTCTTGTCCGGTACCAAGTGAGGTAACATCACTCTCACATTCTGCTCCGTTTCCACTCTGTGCCATTATGGTTTGATCTAGAAAAATCGGTAAAAAGCTTTAAATTAATATTAACTTCAATTGCATAAGCACTGTTACCAAAACAACCATTCATTTTGCCACAAGTGGTAAACTCACATTGGTATAAAACTTTTATTTACTGAACAAATCAATTAAAATTCTGTAGCACGCAGTCATGAAATGGGTGGTGAAGTACTTTTCAAACAACGTGAAAGTACACGTAATCTGATTGAGTTTTCTATTGTGCTTTCAATCAAGACATGAAACTGCGTTTTCGTATTCAGTAGCCCAGTCGCTCAGGCCACCATAGTAGCCAAGCATCGTCAACTCACTTTTCGACAATCTCGGTGACTGATTCAGTTTCAGACTCAGAGCGACGTGTTTTGCATTTTTTTTTGTTACGTTAGTTAATCGACTTAGTAGCAGCAGCGAGTTACAGTACCACTTCAGTAAGACGTGATAGAATCATATTTGAATACAGATTCAGGAGTCAATTGCAGGAATTATCCTTATAAGCATACTGTTTCTTTTTGGTGCAAGTGAAATTCGGTAAAGTTTACTTTTAGCTTTATAGAACTTAAGGGGATAATCGTCATAATTTGCAACAGCTTTTGTTATTGGTAATACTTTGTTGATGAAAATTCGTGATAAAAACACTGTTAAGTATATAAATTCGGATTCCTACTTACAGATGTTTGGCTGCTATGACCACATCAACAACAACACTTTTTTTAGTTTCAAAACTACAAAAACTAAGATTGAATTAACCTTAAAATAACCTTTTCAAATAATAATAATAATAATAATAATAATAATAATAATAATAATAATAACATAATAGTTATAATATTTATAATAATAAATGGTACAATGTGAAGGTGCTGTGGTTGCACCATAGGATTTCAGCATCCGTTAATATAAATGCGTTACTAATTGTTTGTGTTGATGGGTTCAAACGCATGACAAATCATCATGGAAATATTGTTTGGTAAACCTTTCGAAAACCGCAACTGGGCACATTAGCTGTGGTCACACTACCGACTTTTACCTAGGTAAAAGTGATTTACCTATGGCAAATTCATTAAAAATCTCCCGAGGTAAATTCATCTCGGGTTTTGTTTTAACTAGATGAAAAATTCTGGGAAGGTCACACTACTGATATCGGCTACAAAGGTTTTCACGCCAGTTGAATTTTTTGGAGTGTAAATTTCAGAAGGCAAGATGCGCAGGGATCTAACTGATCAAAGAGACGTTTTTTTCTTTTCTCTCACTGTTATTTCTTACGCTAATTCAACATGCAAGGTGAAGAAAGGCGAAGACGTAGACGAATCGTGCCCCCAAAATTTCTTTCACCGCGTGAGCTATGTCCGGGTTCTGTCATCAAGACTTTCGCCGATGAGAGTCTATTGGCTAGCAACCTCGGTATTTCATGTTTCCCTATCTATCGCTTTGGGGTAGCTGTCAAGGGAAACTCTTTTGTTCTCGAGACATATCCAAGACCCAGACGATAAAATTTCACCGAGGTAAGTTACCTAGGGAAAAATCGGTCACACTTTAAAAATCAAGTTTCCCTAGGTAAACTGTCAACAAGTCGAATTTACCTAGGTAAAAAGTCTGTAGTGTGACCACAGCTATTATCACACTATCAAAGCCGGTCTTGTAGCAGAAGTATACGCATGCGCAAAAAATAAGATTGACGAGTTGCTAGGGGTATACGGAACACCGTAACACCGCAAAGAAAAATCGACGAATTCGACAAAACCATGCTAAAAATTACGCGCCAATCAAAAAAAGATTCCGCATGTTTAGACGTACCACAATATTAGAATTAAAGACCACAATGACATAAGTACCGCATGAAAATTTGCCAAATACAGTAATACCGCGAATTTTCTCAATGTAAGGCGCTAGAAATGTAAAACTCTACTATACTCTCCCGTCCCCGAGACAGATGCAGGGCTATATGTAACGGTTAATTCGCAAGGAAAAAGGAATTCATCGACCACAAATTTTAGAAAAAGTTTAATCTGTAGATAAAAAATAAAAAACACCTTCAGTGGAGATAATTTTTAATGACTTTCAGTCTTTATGTATCAAATGTTGAATGTTATCAAATGACCTTTTTTTCTGTATCTTTTATTTCATTTCTCATTAAATTTCTCATGTTAAAGGCCTTTTGGTAATACACTATTAACAGTTGTAAGAATCGTTACCTTTCAGTGTGTCATCATCAAAGTTCAGCTCTTGTCCGGTACCAAGTGATGTAACATCACCCTCACTTGCTGCTGCGTTTCCACTATGTGCCATAATGGTTTGATCTGGAAAAATCAGTATAAAGCTGTAAATTGACATTATCTTCACTTGTATATAAAGCACTAGTACCAAAACAGCCATTCATTTCGCCACACTTGCTAAACTCGACCACAAATTCTAGGAAAAGCCTAATCAAGATACCTTCAGTAGAGATAATGTTTAACGACTTTGATTCTCTAACCATTTCCATTGTTGAATGCTTTCAAGGGACGGTTTGTTGTCTTTTTTGTATATTTTATTTCATTTCCCCTTAGTTTGCTATATTAAATGCCTTTTAGTGATACACTATTGACAGTTGTAAGAATCTTTACCTTTCACTGTGTCATCATCAACATTCAGCTCTTGTCCGGTACCAAGTGATGTAACATCACTCTCACATGCTGCTCCGTTTCCACTCTGTGCCATAATGGTTTGATCTGGAAAAATCGGTAAAATGCTTTAAATTAATATTAAGTTCACTTGTATAAGCACTGTTACCAAAACAACCATTCATTTTGCCACAAGTGGTGATCTCACATTAGTATAAAACTTTTATTGACTGAACAAATCAATCAAAATTCTGTTGTAGGCAGTCATGAAATGCGTGGTAAAGGAATTTTTAAACAACAGGACAGTACACGTAATCTGATTCAGTTTTCCATTGTGCTTTCATTCAAGACATGAAACTGCTTTCCAGAACTCAGTAGCCCAGTCGCTCAGGCCAACCTAGTAACCAACCATTGCCAACTCACTTTCCGACAATCTCGGTTGCTGATTCAGTTTCAGATTCAGAGCGACGGTTTTTGCAGTTTTTTTTGTTACCCTAGTCAATCGACTTAGTAGCAGCAGGGAGTTACAGTAACACTTCAGTAAGACGTGACTGAATCATATTTGAGAACAGAATCAGGAGTCAATTGCAGCAATAATCCTTATAAACATGTTGTTTCTTTTTGGTGTAAGTGACACTCGATAAAGTTTACTTTTAGCTTTATAGAACTTAAGGGGATAATCGTCATAATTTGCAACAGCTTTTGTTATTTGTAAAACTTCCTGATAAAAACATTGTTAAGTATATAAATTCGGTTTGCTACTTAAAGATGTTTGGCTGCTATGACCACTTCAACAGATACACTTTTTTTACTTTGAAAACTACAAAACTTAAGATTGGATTAACACTAAAATAACCTTTTCAAATAGTAATAATATTAATAATAATATAATAGTTATAAGAATTATAATAAGAAATGGTACAATGTGAAGCTGCTGTGGCTGCACCATGGGATTTCTGCATGCGTTAATACAAATGCCTTACTAATTGTTTCTGTTGATGGGTTGAAGTGCATAACAAATTATCATGGAAATATTTTCTAGTAAACCTTTGTTAAAGCCGCAACTGGGCACAATGTCACACTATCAAAGCCGGTCTTGTAGCAGAAGTATAGGCATGCGTAACAAATAAGATTTTAGAGCGGCTAGAAGTATACGGAACACCGTAACACGGCGAAGAAAAATCGACGAATTCAACAAAACCATGCTAAAAATCACCGAGCCAGCCAATCAGGGGCACAACCCATATCTGGGTACCACAATAGCAGAATTAAAGATCACAATTACATAAGTACCTTATGAAAATTTGCCCAACACAATAATACCACAAAATTTCTTAATGTAAGGCGATAAAATGTAACACTCTACTATACTCTCCCCTCCCCGAGACAGATGCATGGCTGTTTAAAAAAATTTTTATCTAGATAAAAAATAAAAAAACACCTTCAGTGAAGATAATGTTTACCGACTTTCAGTCTTCATGTATCAAATGTTGAATGTTATCAAATGACGGTTTTTTTCCTTTCTGTATCTTTTATTTCATTTCTCCTTAAATTTCTCATGTTAAAGGCCTTTTGGTGATACACTATTAACAGTTGTAAGAATCTTTACCTTTCAGTGTGTCATCATCAAAGTTCAGCTCTTGTCCGGTACCATATGTAACATAACTCTCACTTGCTGCTCCGTTCCCACTCTGTGCCATAATGGTTTGATCTAGAAAAATGAGTATAAAGCTATAAATTGACATTATCTTCACTCGTATATAAAGCACCAGTACCTAAACAGCCATTCATTATGTCACAGGTGATGAACTCGACCACAAATTCTACGAAAAGCCTAATGTAGATATAAAATGAAAAAACCACCTTCATTAGAGATACTGTTCAACGACTCTTTAACCACTTCCGTATGTTGAATGTTTTCAAATGACGGTTTTTTGTCTTTTTTGTATATTTTATTTCATCTGTCCTTAGTTTGCTGTATTAAAGGCCTTTTGGTGATACAGTGTTAAAAGTTGTAAGAATCTTTACCTTTCAGTGTGTCATCATGAAAGTTCAGCTCTTGTCCCGTACCAAGTGATGTAACATCACTCTCACATGCTGCTCCATTTTCACTCTGTGTCATAATGGTTTGATCTGGAAAAATCAGTATAAAGCTGTAAATTGACATTATCTTCACTTGAATATAAAGCAAGTTCAGCCAAAAGGTTCGGCAGAAGAGGTTTCATTTCAACGCCAACACTATAGGATTTTCTCCAACTTATAAAAAAACTCCCTTGAAAGGGATAAGAACTCCACGTACATGTACCATGCTAAAAAACGCCGAGCCAATCATAAAAAATTCCGCATGTTTAGTAATACCACAATTACGTAAGTACTGCATGAAAATTTGCGAAACACAATATTACCGCAAACTTTCTCATTGTAAGGGGCTAAAAATGTAAAACTCTACTATGCTCTCCCCTCCCCGAGACAGACGTTTGATTCCAAATGCCCCACGGTGCAGTGGGTAAAAGAGGAAACGCAAATGCCTAAAGGGGATGGTCACACTTCAAATTAACTGACTCATTTTAGTTGATTGCAGGCCTTTTCACCGGAGGTGAGGGTTCTTCATTTTCGAGTGGAATGTATTTCGGTTTCCAAAAAATAGAAGATACTTGGTTCTTTTCCCATTCGTGGTTGTTTCCTTTTTACTTGTAGGTCTCTCCGATTCAGCTTTGTATTCGACAATCTGTTTTGCGGTTATGAAGTACGTCATAAGCAAAACTTTCGATTAAGAAATTTGGGGTGGATCGAAACTCCAGTGGAGGTACTCCGGATTTCAAGTGACGGCGATGATAGAAGGATTTTTTGGGTTTAAAATTTTCAATTCCGGGATTCTTTTGGGGTAGGAAAAATTTGGCAAGTATTTTCTTAGCTGGCTTGATTTTAACTCGATAATCTGGTCGGTGCATGCGCAGAACTTTCTGTATAGGATTTTTTGGGGGGTTAATTTTTGGTCCAGGGAATTTTTAGGGTTTTGATTTTTGCCCTCATTCGGTCATCCACGTCTCTTGAAATCCGGAATACCCCTTGGGAACGAAACTTGCTTTGGTATAGAAAAATAAAATGGTGAATTATAATTGTGGGTACAAAAGATAAAAGTAAAATGCGGACTATCGTGTGGAACTTTTTTGTGTGTTCATTTCCGTCTTCGTCTCTTTGCTACATATTAAAATGTAAAAGATTACGGGGATAATTTATTTCCCGGTTAGGCAAATGATGTCACTTGTTAATTCATCAATGGCGTTGATTATGGTCACACACTCGTGAAATAGGGGCAAATTTGGTCGTTCCGTTCCTCACTTTCTGATGTTAAAAATGCTAAAAAAGCTGAAAATTTATTAAATTTGTAGCTCACACTAATAAACCGTTATGCGGTGCGTGTCCATCTTTCGGGTTGGCGGGAAAATAGGAATCATACATGCCGGGAGCTAATGCAGGGCTATATGTAACGGCGGATCCGCAAGATAAAGGAATTCGTCGACCACAAATTATAGAAAAAGTCTAGTGTAGATAAAAAAACACCTTCAGGGGAGATAATGTTTAACGACTTTAAGACTTTATGTATGTTGAATGTTATTAAAGGACCGTTTTTTTTCCTTTCTGTATCTTTTATTTCACTTCTCCTTAAATTTCTATGTTAAGGGCCTTTTGGTGATACACTATTAACAGTTGTCAGAATCTTTACCTTTCAGTGTGACATCATCAAAGTTCAGCCCTTGTCCGGTACCATGTGATGTAACATCACCCTCACTTGCGGCTCCGTTTCCACTCTGTGCCATAATGGTTTGATCTGGAAAAATCAGTATAAAGCTGTAAATTGACATTATCTTCATTTGTATATAACGCACCAGTATCAAAACAGCCATTCATTTTGCCACAAGTGGTAAACTCGACCACAGCTGATTCTAGGAAAAGCCAGCTAATCTAGATAAAAAATGAAGAAACCACCTTCAGCAGCGATAATGTTTAACGACTTTGACTCTTTAGCCACTTCCGTAGGTTGAATGTTTTCAAATGACGGTTTTTTGTCATTTTTGAATATTTTATTTCATTTCTCCTTAGTTTGCTATATTAAAGGCCTTTTGGTGATACACTATTAACAGTTGTAAGAATCTTTACCTTTCAGTGTGTCATCATCAAAGTTCAGCTCTTGTCCGGTACCAAGTGATGTAACATCACCCTCACTTGCTGCTCCGTTTCCACTCTGTGCCATAATGGTTTGATCTGGAAAAATCAGCATAAAGCTGTAAATTAATATTATCTTCAACTGTATAAGCACTGGTACCAAAACAGCCATTCATTTTGCCACAAGTGATAAACTCGACCAACAAATTGTACAAAAAGTCTATTCTAGACAAAAAAAATGAAAAAACCACTTTCAGTAGAGATAATGTTTAACGACTTTGACTCTTTAACCACATCCGTATGTTGAATGTTTTCAAAGGACGGTTTTTTGTCTTTTTTGTATATTTTTTTTCATTTCTCCTTAGTTTGCTATATTGAAGGCCTTTTGGTGATACACTATTAACAGTTGTAAGAATCTTTACCTTTCACTGTGTCATCATCAAAATTCAGCTCTTGTCCGGTACCAAGTGATGTAAGATCACTCTCACATGCTGCTCCGTTTCCACTCTGTGCCATAATGGATTGATCTGGAAAAGTCGGTAAAAAGCTTTAAATTAATATTGACTTTACTTGTATAAGCACTGTTACCAAAACAACCATTCATTTTGCGACAAGTGGCGAACTCACATTAGTATAAAACTTTTATTGACTGAACAAATTAATCAAAACTCTGTGGCAGGGAGTCATGAAATGCGTGGTGAAGTACTTTTCAAACAACAGGACAGTAAACGTAATATGATTTAGTTTTTTGTTGTGATTTTAATCAAGACATGAAACTGCTTTCCAGAATTCAGTAGCCCATTCGCTGAGGCCAACATAGTAATCAACCATTGCGAACCCACTTTTCGAAAATCGCGGTGGCTGATTCAGTTTCAGATTCAGAGCAACGGTTTTGCAGTTTTTTGTTGTTACCCTAGTCAATCGACTTAG